CAACTTAGTAACAATCTGATTTTAATAAATAGTTTTTTACGTTCTTCCATTAATTGATTGAGAGATAAATAAATTGAAACTACAAATCATTATTAATTTCACACATTACTTATTAATACTAAAAATATAATTGATAAATCATGACCTCGGTCAAGACGGCAAAAGTCTCAGGAAGTGATACGTCCAATGGCAGTCTATATATGATGCCAATAGGAGTCGTTTATGGAAGTTTTTTTTTTTATATTCAATTTTGAACTCTGCATCAACATTGTGAGATATCCAATTGTCGATTAGTAGTATTGTTGAAAACTTCGTTTTTACAGATAGTTCAGGAACGGTTGAGTTGCCTTCTAATTTTTAACTGTATGTTTAATATTGGCGAATCATACATACCTGTATATCATTTAAATTATATTTTTATTTAAAGTATGTGACAACGGCCGTAGCAATTCATTGGCTGGCAAGCACCTGTTCGTCCTGGAGAGGATATCAAGTCGCTAGAATACAAAATGGCAGCCATGTGAAGGTAGAAGAGACCTTACATAGGTTGCACGCATATTTATAGAGAGAGCTTATAGATATATAAAGCTACCAACACTTTCAATTTATATTATTTACAGTCTTAAGACCTGAAATAAAAGTCAGTTACCCCATACTCGTAGATTTCAAGTCGAAAAATTGAATTTACGATTCAAAAAATTTACTTTTTCCCGTATTTTACGAAAAAGTCATGAGTAAGAAACTTGTTTAATATTAAATTTTCTTTAAGAATATATATTATTTTACGATCTTATCTTCAACCATTCAAAGGCTAGAGCAATTATAATTTAATTATTAAATTTCTAAACTATACAGAAAAACTTTTTCTCATCAGGCCAGTTGATATGCTCAATTTATAAGGACACAGCTTAGTATGAAATATGACACCTTTTTTGCCAGGGGCTTCAGGACTATTATAAGAGCATGTACAAACCTGAAACGTCTCAGATTTTTTATTTGGGCCCACCCATTCGACATTGAGACTATACGAAGCTTTTCCTTGTTGGAAGGTGGGGATGTTTAAAACTCCCCTGGCACCAGGACACGAACTCATAATTATTTTATCATGTAAACTTGCAATCCAAAATCCTTCGTAAAATCCTCAATGCTCCTTACTTTGTTACAAATAAAATTATCCATAATGACCTTAATGTTCCTTATGTATCAGATTTGGCCCAATCCAGATATCTGTCCTTCCATAATAAACTTCATAACCATCCCAACCCTCTTGTCTCTAACCTTGCTTCCTATTCGATTCCTGATAACCCTCCGAGGGGTCTGAAAAGAAGATGGCCACGTGATCTTCTAATATAGACATATTATTAGAGGGCTACCAATGGGTAGTTTCTCAACATGTGTTCCATATCTTTATACCAATGTGCAAATTTACTAGATGTATTTTTTGTATACAGTTGTAAATATCATTTAAAATAAATAAATTTATAAATTTAAATTTCTGGTTCTCTGTATGTAATCAGACCATGGTTTATGGTAAATTTTTATAAGTTTTAATGCATTCTGTTATATATTATCAATTATATGAAGTTAATATCAACCTATAAACCTCATAATATCATCATCAGGAAATTCCCCCATTGTTTGATATAGAATATAATTTTGTTGTCAATGATTTTTTAGAAACATTAAAAGAAAGAAACTTTCAATAATAATTTGATATATCGAAAATGTCAAAAAATTAATTAAACTTCAGAAAGGTATCGTCTACACGAATAACACCAATTTTGTGGTTTGAAGTAATTTTTGTTTGAAGTGGAAATACAATAAATATAATCTCATGAATATCTCCATAACCATTGATATTATAAAAAAAAAATGTATAGAACCATTTTTAAAGAGATTTTAAAATATTAAAGTAAAGTTTTTCAATATTATACTGAACAATCTTGCGAAAAACCTCAAAGTTTTTGAGATATTCTTTAAAAAACTAAGAAAAAATATATTCATCTTTCCTTCCTCCCCTCTCCCTATCAAAACTCGATGCAGGATTCTTTGGGACTTTTTACCAGTTATTAAGGGGAGGGCAATGAACAATGTCTGATAAGTATCATCTTTATTTTTTTAATGTTGGGGTAAGGCTGTTTCCCCCCCTAACTTTACTGGACTATAGGACTAGTGTTGTCAAAATCGGTCTTGACCTAGGCCGCATAACTGTTGCAGGAACAAGACCAGGACTGGTAAAAAAATTTATTTTTCAAATAAAAATTAAGGCAATAGTTGCTAATGCTTGACAATCTTTGTTGCTATATGTTGATAATTGGTATAACCAATATACTTTTGCATTTAACTCCTCTAATTTTTCATTCGGGCTTATTTAGGTTTCTCCTATCTAAAAAATTACAGTAATATCTCAATAGCAATAAGCTTATAAGTAACTACAAGACTGTTGCGATACTCTTGCGCAAGACCAAGACTGAGTTTGCAAGACTAAGACTCGTCTCTGTCTCGCATTTGGGCAACACTATAAAGGAATAAACTGTAATGGTTGCTAGAAAAAGAGAAATGGAGTTATACAATGTGAAAAAGAAAATTTTTAAAACTTTGAGGGGCGAGAATTTCGAAACCCTTTACAGATATTTTTTTTGCCAATCTTAGCACCAACCAATACTTTATGGTTGTTAGTAAAAATTTTTAGAACACATAGGGGAGGGGGCGTCAGAGCCCTCAACAAAAATTCTGAAAACTGTAAAAATGTTTCACACAATATTTATACCTAAAATTATTTAGACAAACCTACAAAATACATTCTTTTTTTTTTTTCAAGTAATAAAATTTCCATAGTTTCATAGATAGCTGTGATAGTCTCTTCAGTGATCTAACAATTATTCCAATGAACTGTAGATCTAAAATTGAAAATAAGTACTTTTATGTAGAAACCTGTTTTTTATGAAGTCACACACGTCTTATTCGTTTGTTTGTAAAAACCATTAACGCCGATTATCTATCCAGTTCAACCTATCAGTACAAAAACATATTGAAATTTGATATTACACGAAACACCATGTTTCTTTTCTGGCTAAATTGGACAATTTTTATTTTTCGTTGAATTAAAATTACAGATCTTTCACTTTTAGGGTTAAATTTCAATTTTAAGATCATGCAATCGAATGTTTGAACCAAATTTCCTCTATTACACCTAAAAAGGCATATATAAAATTTATATTCAAGAACAAGGGTTCTAACCCAAAGCCATGTGTTATGCTGGAGATACAGAATTGACATATTTACTGCCGGACAGTAGATTTTAAATTTACTGTTTTTAAATTATTAAAAACTCTACCAATCTCAATAAAATAAGGTCATACATCGGTTCAAGCGGATGACTGAAAAATTTTATAGTGGTGCATAAAAAATAAAAAAAGAAAAATCAAACTCTACTAATCTTGATAAAATAAGGTCGTGATGCTGATATATTGGTCTTTATAATAATCAGTATCTGCCCAAATTAGGGGAAGAGGAAGGGCAGAAAAAAAATTAAATAAAAACTCTACCATACTCAACAAAATAAGGTCGTAAGGCCGATATATCGATATTTGCTCAAATTTATGTTAATGTTGATCCCTTGACGAATGATTGACACATTTATTAGCAAACAAATAATATTCAAGGTAATAGGGGCCGATATTTTGGTTCAGAGGATATTCAGAAAATTTGGAAGATGTTTACAAAAAACAATAACAATAGTCAAACACTACTTATCTTGATAAAACAATATCATGAGGCCTATATTTCGGTCTTTAGAATGTCTGAATGTGCTCAAATCAGAGTAAAGGGAGGACCAGAAAAAAGATTAATTAAAAATTTGTCAAACTACCAATCTCAATAAAATAAGATAATATCGGTCTTTGCTCAAATTTATGTTTATGTTGATCCCTTGATGAATGATTGACACATATATTGGCAATAAAAATAATATTCAAAGTAATAGGGGCTGATATTTCGGTTCAAGGGGATGACCAGAAAATTAGGAAGATGTTCACAAAAAAAAAAAAAAATTGTCAAACTCTACTGATCTTCATAAAATAAGGTCGTGAGGCTGATATATCGGTCTTTGGAATATAAATCCTTTGCCATTTGTGCTACCTCCTTTTGGAACTCTCTTCCTACCTCCATACATCAATCCTCATCCACAAATTCCTTCAAACAACTCCTGTTCCACTACCTACTCCACATTCAAACTTCCCCTGACATGTAAAATTACTTGGATCTGTATACTGTTTAATTTCAATCTACTGCACAATTGCAATAACAATAACCAGTTAATTAGTTTGTATTTTTTATTTAATTAGTTTGTATTTTTTATTTGTATTTTTATTTTAAGTCAGACTAATACCCATAAATTTGCAACTCTGTTATTATTCTTAGGGTCAGTTCTTACACTGTAGTCCCAGAATAAAATTGTCATTCATTCATTCATACATTGGGTATACGTACACCCGCTACTGCCTTTAAAATAACAGAGATTCTGTTAGGGACTGGTTATATGGTTATAGGTGGCTCCTTAGATTCCTGGTGTCAGCTGTATCAATCAATAGCTGGCTCATTGGTCTCCTAAGACCATTTTGACATAATATGTGTGCAGGCTATTATAAACCATGTTACAGAAACATTCTTTCATCCTCAAATAGCATATCCTATTATTCACATTTACATACTTCAGGATTCAACCCTTTCTCCTCTTTTTGCTCTTGAAATCAATCCCCAATCTATTAGCTTTATCCCTGTTGTTAATTAGGGCATAATGGGTTAATGAATATATAGATATATGTGTTTGTGAACACATATCTATAAACATTAAATGTCATTTATTTTTTAAATTGGTTTCTTTTCATTTTGTGGTGTGGTCTATCATAAACTAATCTTTAATATTTTCATATATATTCTGTGTTATTTCTAAATCTAGTAAATAATGTATGCATTGACAGTTTAAACTTCTGTTTTAGGTAAAAGCAAAGAGGCAGAAGTTAAGAGAATTAACAAAGAACTAGCTAACATACGCAGTAAATTCAAAGGGGATAAAACTTTAGATGGCTATCAAAAAAAGAAATATGTGTGTAAGCTGTTATTCATTTTCTTGTTGGGCCATGATATTGATTTTGGTCATATGGAAGCAGTTAATCTTTTGTCTTCAAACAAATATTCTGAAAAGCAAATTGTAAGTTTGGAAATATAATTAGAAAATGCTACAATATCTCGTATACACCAAATAGAGATTTTAATTGTGTAATATATTACACCTCTGAAAGCCTTGCATTACTTATGTTTCTAACTTTTTAGTCATTAGTCACAAATAATATAAAACAACAAATTGGAAAATGATAACTTGTTTATAGTTATATTAAATAAATAATGACTAAAAATTTAGTCATTTATGATTAGTGTTTTATTTTTTTATTTAGAATAAAACTTATATTTTGGTGCATTAATATCTCTAATTGATTTTAAAGTTTTATTTATTAGTTATATGTTCATTTCTTATATTAAATTAAGTTTCAAATTCAATTAATTATTTCAATTTGAGAAATTTTTCAAAACTATTATCCTAAGTTTATTATATTTTACAATAAGTATAAGGATTTATTATGAAATCCATGAGTGGTTGTCTGTAAATAAGAATATTGTTAATTATTAATTGTTCAAGTGTAAATTTTATCATACAAATTTAATTGTGAAAAATTAGAGCTAAACATTTAACAACAAGTTACAAATTGTTGAGTAAGGAATAGACCTTGTAATTATTAACATTAAATGTTTCTTTTCTAATAGAGAAACTCAGTTTTGTTTTTATTATCAGTGATATTACTGCTGTCTATATATTCATTTTAAAAAACATTTTTACTTTCACGTACTTATATATGTAATATATAAATAAGGAAAGTATTGCGATTATGAAAGTTTTTGAATCTGAGTTTTCAATGAAAATTTTAAGATCCCCTGAGCCTAAATAACCAAGTCTCGCAAAATAGTCGTGTGATCATGCTTGCTCGTATGTGCGGGTGTGTAAACAGTCTAGCTCACAAACTATAAGCCTCACGAAACTGAAATTGTATATTGAAGTCAATAGGTATATGTCTGGAATGTTAAAAACTTTTTCCTTAAAAACGGTTAACCGGTAGTGCCACTATATATCATCTATTTTCAATATTTTATCGAAAATGGCCCTAATGATTTTGAAAAACTCGGTATATCAATGTACAACTAAATGATCTTTAATATCAGCTACATCTTATCCACATTGATGACACATAACAGAGCTTAAATGCATAAATTTAAAAATTTCTTTCTAAAGTAGCTATAATTTTGTTTATTTTAAATAATTAACTGTCTTTCATTGCTATTAGTAATGAGAAAAGGTTAAATATAAACTATGGAAGATTTGATAATTGATTAAAGGGGAAAAAATAGAAAATTTTTTTTAAAGATGAAAATGAATTTCGGGTAATAATCGTCAGAATGTGTAGGTATAATATAACATTGAAAAGCTGAGAATTTTAGAAAAAACAATATCAAACATACAAAGTCCAAAGTCGTAGAAGATAATAAAGAGTAATGATAAAATTATAAATAATAATTTCTGATAATATGAGATATTATGATAAATTATTATTTTTATGACGAAAAACAAATGTTTCCTTGGAAACAAAATGAAATTCTCTAACTAAAAGGAAATTTTTAAAATTATTTTTAATTTTATAAAAAGTATGTATAATCCAATGAATTGAGGCAATGGAATTGTTTAAAACCTATTTGATTGTACTTGTGTTAATCCAAGTTTCCAAGCCATAAATTAGCACTTGCCAGATTTTTTCCATGCTGAGAACATTAATTCATCCTCCTACACTGATTTAAAAATATCTTGAAATGCCTTCACCAGTTAGTTGCCTCCATATCTCAAGAGTTCGGCAGGGAGTCCATTGCACTCTGGAGCCTTGTGGTTTAGTTCTTCAGCCACAGCTTCCTTAATCTCCTCGCTGGGCAGTTTTAACTCAGCTTCCATGTCTCCTACACTAGGTTGTGCTCTTTAAATGTAACTCAAACATGACTCAAATTTGGTCGTGACTCTTGATTCTTGACAAAATTGGAATTCTCAGGGTGGGTGTACGACATGCTAACAGTCTTTTACCTTATACCTTGAAACAGTTCATAATATTACCCCCGAAGGCTCATATAACTTCATTTATTATCAATGACAGTCATCAAAACTACCTTTATACTGGACTACAGCTCTTGTTATTGCTGTTAAAATGAATAATCTAGTTACGTATATATCAATTTGTTATCTGCCATAGTTTTAAACCCAAAAATTACAATATAGTAATGACTGACTTACCATTCACACAATTTATGTAAGGGCGCCCTTTTCTAAATTCAGCCATCGATTTTGCTGGTCCTTTTACCACAAAAGAGAGCCAAATAAATAATTCTGTTTGACAAAAATCTTATGTGTAAAAGAACTAGTTTCTTAGCATTCAATTGACGCTTTTCTGGCATCATTGGACAGTTTTATCAGGCAACATGGACTTCATACTATGATTTTATCAGATAATGGAAGAAATTTTATTGGCACAAATTGGTGTCTAAAGGAACTCTGTCTGTGGTTTAAAGTATGTGAGACACAAAACAGAATTGCTTATCATATCTCAGATCAACACATTAATTGGGATGATTATACCTCCTGCTGCTCCACATTTCGGCAGAATCTATCTTATAAGAGTTGAAAACAATGTTTCTTACCATTGAACTAAGACATCTCCACAAGATTACGATGCCCTGATGCATGTCATTTTTTAATTGGTGCTCCATTAGTGAGTTTTCCAGATGAATGTAGTGACATCCCTACCAATTAGTTATCATGCTTGCTACTACTAAAGTAATGTCTAGAATCATTGACAAAATCATTTTCTTCATGCACTAATGAAAATTTGAAATCAGGAGAGTTTATGAAATCAAGTGTGCAGGCTTTAGACTAGCTGTGGGAGGGATAGTCGAAATATATCCAGGACCAGATGGGATAGTGAGGGTAGTGCAAATCAAAACTACACATGGTACATACATGCGTCCAGTAAGTAAACGATTTTTCGAATTTTCATTGGTTTTACCTCTTTAATTTTGTGTTTAGGATGATCAGTTTTCACTATTTCAACAATTTTCCGACTTTTGAGAGATAGGTCAAAGGAAATAGAAGTGTTTAGAATTTATCTCATGAATTAATGTTGGATTTTTCACCGTTTCAACAGTTTTCGACTGTTTTGAGGTAGGCAAAAATGGGAAACATTACCAATGATTTTCTGAATTTTCATTGGCTTTACCTCTTTTATTTTGTGAACAAAAGATTAGTTTTTAACCGTTTCAATAATTTTCCGACTCTTCAGAGGTAAGTCATAGGAAATAGAAGTGTCATTAATTTTCCGAATTTCCATTTACTTTTCCTCTTTTATCTCTTGTATCGATGATTGGTTTTATAAGTAGAAAATCCAAGTAAATAGATTAGGTCTAACTGCTGTTTATAGTTATTTATATTCAGATGGTTAATATTTTTATTTTGTATTTTACCAGATAATTTTTTTTTTCAGGGATATCTGTTTATATCAGTCCTGGTTAATACTAATAGTGATTTAATTAACTTAATTATTCAAAGCATAAAGAATGATTTAGCATCTAGGTAAGTATATCCACATTTCTTCATTTCTTTTAGTTGAATTTTTAATTAGTAAGAGGATGGATTTTAATAATTTTGATATTTAACTTTTAGAAATCCTATTCATGTTAACCTTGCTATGCAGTGTATAGCAAACATTGGGAGCAGGGAGATGGCGGAAGCTTTTGGTTATGACATTCCTAAGCTACTTGTTTCTGGGTAAAATTTGTATTTGTTTGTAGTTCTATGATTTTGCTTTGATTCAGTGAGTGTTTTAGCAATGATTTAATTTTTATTTATCTTTTTTTTTTTTTTTTTTTTACTCATTCCTTTACATATAAATTAGTTAAACTTATCTGGCCTGTGACAGTTATTTGTTATGTTCATATTTTTTCTCATCTGTCATTTATAACACCTTAAGTAGGTCTATTATTATTATATTAGCAATGCAGTTATTATTATCTAGCATTTACCTATATATGTTATAAATAGTAAGGAAAGTACTGCGATCGTGAAAATTTTCAAATCTGAGTTTTCATCGGAAATACATGTTTTGAGGTCTCCTGGATCCAAATAACCAAGTCCTGCAAAATGGTCTGTGTGTGTAATTTTAAACAGTCTAGCTCTAAAAGGAAAAGTTGTAAGCAACTGAAATTTAGTATTTAACGTTTGTACATGCCTGTCAACTTTTTACAGAAACTTTTTCTCGACTAACCGGAAGTGCCACTTTATATCATTGATTTTACTCAATTTTCTCAAAAATGGCTTTAACGATTTTGATTAAATTCAGTTTTTAATGTAATGTAGGTCTTATCCTCATTGATGTTCTCTAACATGATTTAAATGCCTAATTTTCAAAATTTCTTCCTCTAAAGTACGTTTAATTATTTTTATTTTAAATAATTAACCATTTCACATTGGAAAATGATATAAAAAATGGAATGAAGACAAATTTGAATGAATAAAGAAAAATGGAAAGTGATATAAAATATAGAAAAACCTAACATTATTAATATTTTAAATACAACTAGGGAAACAAAATCATGTTAGTATTTTACATACCATCGTACATAATATGGGACAATGTGATTATCATATGAAAAGAATTAAAAGGAGTTTTGGTGGAAAATTAGCAGATGTACTACAATATAACATTGAATGAATTCCTGATAATGTTGCAGAGCCCTTAAACATTGATTATGTTACCAAATTAAACAAGAAATAAAATAATCAGACTAGGAGGAAAACAAAACTTTCACAATCTAAATAGGAACTATATTTATCCTACCTATGGAATAGGTCATAAATAAAATATTTTCATTGTTTGGAAGTTATTGGATTACTCACTGAACCAAATGATCCAAAGAGTTTAGCAATTTATAATCACTGTTATGTTTTATTTTTAGAGATACTATGGATGTTGTGAAGCAATCTGCTGCTCTGTGTTTACTTCGCCTATTTCGAACATCCCAGGAAATTATTCCTGGAGGAGAGTGGACATCTCGAATAGTACATTTATTAAATGATCAACATTTAGGAGTGGTAACAGCTGCTGCTTCATTAATTGATGCTCTAGTAAAGCGCAATCCTGATGAATATAAAGGCTGTATCAGTTTGGCTGTTTCTAGATTAAGTAGAGTAAGTTTACTTTTTTTATTATCTGTTGAGTTAATTGTTATTATATAATCACAATATTTTCATTGTGATATATTAATGTAATTTGTATCTCGATTCATTACAATTATTTATTTAACATTTAGAAATTAAGAGTCAGACCTGTTTATACAAATTTAGTTTGATATTATGAAGCCATGGATAAATAGCTATATAACTCAGTATTAAAGGTATGGTGGCTACAAAAAGAATAGAGCATAGCCATATTATGTCCTTTTCATAAAATTAATCAAAATGCTCTAATACCCAGGGCATCTTATTTAGGGACATTGTACAATATATTCACCAAACTCCTTAATCTAAAACGCCAAAAGTGGTGGGAAAAATGTCTTGGTGAGTATCAGTTAGGTTTCAGAGAAAGCCGATCAACAATGGATTTTACCTTCTACCTAAAGCAAACCTTTGAAAAGACATGAATTTGATGTTAATCTGCACCATCTCTTAGTTCACTTTTAACAGGGGTACAATACTATCAACAAAGAAAAGCTACTGATAAGTCTGATATTATAAGAGTAATCAAGGTTTGGCACAAGATGACACTAGTGCTGATAACCTTGGAGGATTATGAACGACAAATTGCATATTGGTTAGATCCATAATTTTGTTCAATTTTTGATAGTAGTGCGAATTGTTTTCAGATATAAACAGTTCTCTTTGTCTTATCTGGCAATAATGATATTTATCGGAAAAGTCAAAGCCCGATCTTCGAATCTGTTGTTCGGTTTCATTGGCATTAGTTTTGTTTGTGCTACAGTCAATGTGTGAATATGTCAAATGATAAAGTACATTTTCGGCATAATTTACTTTTTTATTTCATATAAAGAAAGCAAGCTTCGGAGACCCAACGAAAGATATTTACGGTCTACGAGGAGGATGCTTTAACAGAACGTACTGCTTAAAAGTGGTTTGCCAAGTGGTTTCGTTCCAAAGATACGAATCTCGGCGATGCGCCCCTCAGTGGTCGGCTTACCAAGGTTGATTGAAGTGATTTCAAGGTTCTAATCGAACAAGATCAGTCGCTACAGGTACTAGAAATTACGAAGACACTCAAAATACATTTTGAAACTATTCAAAACAGCTTGGATACGTGATCCGCCTTGATGTTTGGGTGCCATACAAACTGACAGAACTGACGCATCCCTGGCCAACCTAATATCAATCTGCAACTCTCTTCTGAACCAGCACAAGAGGGACCCAAGGAGTCAATCGCAAAGATGTTTTATTCCTCCATGACAACGCCAGACCACATTTCACAATAATTACAAAAGTTAGGGCAACTTGGCTGTGATGTTTTATTACACTCACCGTATTCCCTGGACCTTTCACCATCTGACTACCACTTTTTCCAGTCCCTCCAAAATTCCCTCAATGGGAAATCGTTCACTGATGAGAGAGATGTGAAACGTAAGCCCTAAATGTTTTACGAGAGCGGAATAATGAAATTGGTATAAAGATGGCTAGAGATTACGTTATGATGTCTCATTAATAAAAACAGCGAATACGTTATAGAATAAAATTTATTCTTTACATGAAAAAAAGTTGTTTTATTTCACCCTTCAAAAACCAAACAAAATTATGGATTCACTCAATATATTTTTTAGAACTTGTAGATCATTTGCTGCCCTTACCAGTCTTTTCCATCTCTGCCTATCTTGGGCTATTTTTTTCCAATTATCTACATGCAGCTGTATTTCATCTTTGTTGATTTGAACTACCCATTGGCTGTTCATATCTGAAGGGTAGTATGGATCCCTAAAAGGTTTTGAGTGACTAGTCAACACGACAACAACTAAGAGGACGAACTCGAAACATGTGAATAGACATAAAAAAAATTCTTATATCTTAAGAAGTAAAAAGTTGGACAAGTTCTTCACAGAGAAAAGTCCCAAAAATATTGTTAAGGAGGCCTAGGTTCTTGAAGGAGGGTCATAGAGTCACGGAGGGAATGGGTTTGATATTATAAAAAAAAGCTATGAATGTTGTAATTTTTATTATGTAAAATGAAGGTATGATTGTCGTATTTATTTTGTTGACTACATTGTTAGAAAGATTTATTAATTAATGTTATAAGTGATTTTTTATCATAATTTTTTCTATTCAGCAATTCATAATATTTAGAGGTGTATTAATAGTGTGTTATATTTAAATTTTATCAATAGAGTTTTTATATTGGTAACTAATCTTTTAATAGCACTAGTTAATGCTTGTCCAGTTTATAGTGAAGTATTTATAATTAAATACTTTTTATTACAGATTGTAACATCCAGTTATACCGATTTACAAGATTACACCTACTATTTTGTACCAGCACCTTGGCTTTCTGTGAAACTTTTGCGGCTTTTACAAAATTATACTCCACCAGGTCCATTTTATTGCAAATCTTGAAAAGTTATTAATTTTTGATTTTGTTCATTTATTTAAATGAAAATTTGTATTTAGAGGATCCTGGAGTTCGTGGAAGACTAAATGAATGTTTGGAAACCATTCTTAACAAAGCACAAGAACCTCCCAAATCCAAAAAAGTTCAACATTCCAATGCAAAGAATGCCGTATTGTTTGAAGCCATCAGTCTCATTATTCATAATGATAGGTATTGCTTTTATTAATAGCAGAATGATAATTCCATAATTTTTTTTTTTAATGTACATTAATTCTGTATTATCAATATTCATTTGAGCTTTTATTTTAGAATCTTTTACGTGTTTCCATTGAAGTTAATTTAATTCAAGCTTTAAGAGAGTATTGTATTTTAATTTTGATTATTACTTATTTTATCTAATTTATCAATATTGGAACCTATAATTTGCTCGAAGTTTCCATGCAGCACCCAGATATAATTTGTATTTGAGACCTTTAATATAAACTTATTTACTAAGCCATTTTTGAAATGGTAAATAATGAAAATATTGCATGTTTAACAAAGTATTATTTTTTAATTTTGCATTTCAGTGAACCTAATCTATTGGTCAGAGCCTGTAACCAATTAGGTCAATTCTTATCTAACCGGGAGACCAATCTTCGTTATTTAGCCCTTGAATCCATGTGTCTACTAGCCACATCAGAATTTAGTCATGAGGCTGTTAAAAAACATCAGGAAGTTGTAATAGTGTCAATGAAGGTATAAACTTTACATTCATAATTCATTGCATTGATATTAATTCATCCTGTAGGTTATTCAGTTTTTCATTAATTCCTTTTTATACAAATAATTAAAGCTGATAATGTTAGGGGTTTTGTTTGTTGACCCCTAGTATTTAAATAATAGGAATAACCATTCACATTATGCAGTAAATGACTGTGAAATACATTCTGCACAATTGGATATTAGAATTTTACATAAGCGAAATATCAGATCTTACACATCAAACAAATTAGGAAGACTGAGGAAAAGAAATTAAAAATAATTTTCATCTTGCAACTGATCATCCCTTATGGATAACATAAGTGAACATATTGTCTAGCTGGTGCTAATCAAGCAATTAATTCCATAACAATTCTAACACCATTATGAAAGAATATAATGGCCGAGCACGTTGAGGCATGGATTCCAGTGTGCCCGGTTCTAAACGTTGGGGGTTCGATTCCCACCTGGGTCAGTTAATGTTTATTTCTCGGCAGCCACGGGAAATAAATCTTGACACTCCCACTCTGGTAAGTATACAGCAGCTACCTCAAGATAGATAGTTATCAGAGATTGGCAAAAAGAATCACAAAGCCCACTTGTCGGACTGGTGTATTGATATAGTGTACTGAGACATAAGAAGGCGCCAGGGAAGTTAAAATAAGTTTGATTCCCTGAGGAAGAATTTGATGGCAGTACTGTGTTTATCATTAATAATAAAGAAGATATCCTAAAATAATAATAATAATGCTTTATTTATTCTGGGACGAGTCCCTTTAGAATAATACAGAAAGACATAAATGTGGGCTAAGGAGCCTCAGAGATACATAAACAAAATATAGAGTAAGTAAATAGTCAAAATAAAATAAAAAAAATAATAAAAGAAATTATAAGTTACTTTCTAATTTAAATCAGTTAATAATACAAAATGAAAAATTGAAAACAAACATGAAGTAAAAATAATGAAGAATGATCTAATAATTTATATACATATTTACAGTAGTAACTATTCACAATTTTATGGGGACTGGATGGATAAGAAATGATTTAAAGGTAGGAAGGGTTTTGGATTGACGGATGTCGTGTAGGATGGAGTTTCATAGGTATGAAGATCGTGTAATGAACGAAAAATAGGTCCTGAATATTTAATAACACTGAAATAGGTTGCCTTGCCCCATTGCCACTGGTATTTTTTCAGTCTTTTATATTCATTTTCCTCTGAATTTATTTATCCTTCTCCTTATTCACTCTTTCATCAAAATGGTTTACCAACATTTGCATTAAAACTGTATAAAGCCTTTTATACTATATTTTATCACTTATATTGAAATATTTATCTCTTCTTTTGTGCTCTTTTATTTTTCTAAAATATTAATTTAAAATATTCCCTCTCCAATAACCATATTTTTGTTCTGTTTCTTCCTACTGTGCTCCTTGTTCTTTTTTCCATTATGACTAATATCTTATGTCAAGTGTGTTTAGATTGCCTGGTTTAATATGACATTATTGTGGAAGTTTATGTGTCAGCATCATCTTATTGCTCAGTGAGCAGCAATGGACCGTTAAGTTGATATTTATTTCCAAGAATTAGAAAAATGATTTCTCTTTTAAAAAATTAGAAGTGTCAAAGGATCTCAATTCAATGATCAATTATCCTTGAAATTAATTTGAAAAATCACTAGACTTTCTTGTTACATTGCATTCTAAAAAGTATTTTAAGCAAATTTGCAATCTAACAGGCTGACATTACTCCTTTTAGGTATAACGGCATTTTTTCTGATATATTTTAATCCATAGGCATGTTTTATGAGTCAAGTGTTTGGAAAGAAGCAATTGAAGTGTTTTTGCATATGGATTAAAATTATCTATACTCTAGGCAAGGGAAATGTTTATCATTTCATCCTCTTTGTAATGAGCTATTATTTAAAATTATATCTTAATGCGACACTGTGTTAGATAAGCAAAAAGAGAAAAAATAGTGTCGAAAACCAACTGATAACGAGTTTTATGGAAGTTATGGATTAAAATATCTTAGAAACTAACCCCTGCATACTGTAAGCAAGGGAAATTTTTCAGTATTTTATCCTCTTTATAATGGTGTATTATTCCAAATTGTATCTTAACACGTCAAAGAGAAAATTTGTTTAAAATAACCCAAAATTTTGAACTTTTTGATAGATTCAAATGTTCCTAAAGGCTTAAATCGACCCGACCCGTCTTAGCTGGGAGGCGAGAATTTTCGTAATACCTATAAGAAGTACTATCAGCCTGTTTGGTTGAAAATTTGCTTTAAATACTACGGTGATCTTTTCGTCCCTGGCTTCAGGTCTATTAGGTTTTTAAAACACCGTGCAATCTTTACCTAGAATTCAAAACTTGCTCTAGGATTCCCTCACTTGTTTGCAAAGAATTTAATTATCATCCATTGCAGAACAGAAAAAAAAATCTTTTCCTTTTTGCCTTTCCTTAATATCTACATCCTATGTTTTGCGATATTTACTCACTCCGAAATTCTGGTTTATATTTGATCATAATTAATAAAGTAACCACTATAAGTATTTGCTATTTTATGCAGATTATATACAAATAGAAATTGAAATATTACCATGTATTTATTTTATTATGTCATTTTGTAGATGGAAAAGGATGTATCAGTTAGACAACAGGCTGTTGATTTATTATATGCTATGTGTGATAGAAGTAATGCAGAAGAAATCGTTCAAGAAATGTTGAATTACCTTGAAACTGCTGATTATTCTATTAGAGAAGAAATGGTAAGTTAGTGAGTAAATGTTCAAAAAAATAAAATAAGCCTGTTCCATTACAACCCATGAAGGTCTTGGGTTCAGTACTTTGTAAGGAAGTACTGTTTTTTTGTCAACAGCTGTGTAAGGAGGTGATTTGACCGAGATCACACTCAACCACCAGGTTTTGCCCTTAATTAATTATTAAATTAAGAGTCCCACTTCATAGAGGTTGCATATGTCCCATGAAGGTCACCCTACCCCAAGGTCAATCCGCGGCCAACGAAATAGAATAAATAATTTATCTGCCATTAGCTGTTGTCGAACCTGGAAATATTATTAAACACTTATCAATAAAAAATTACTGTGTAAATAATTTAATTAAAAGCTGATTATGAATGTAAATATCTCTCTGACTTTAAGTAGGCTTGGCATTATCTTTTTACTGTAATTAAAGCCATTACCCATAAAAATGGGTTCCAATATATTGATGAACCTCCATTTTTCATTTTTAGTTATTTTCTTAATAGGTTCACCTATTCACTGGGAAACGATGAAATCAAATAATAGAAAATTATGTCTTTGACTTCAAATGTTTTTAGTCACTTTCATTTATACACTGCTGGTGGTCATGTCCTTGAATTTTGTTAAACGGCTCACCTTAAATTTTGTCATTATATCATTCCCAATAGAAAAAAAAATTGCATTTTTTTTTTTTTACCTTAATATAGTGTGCCACATTCTGTTTCTAGGAGACCACAAATAAAGAGAAAAACTACAAAAAATCATTTTAAAAAATTTGTAATATAAAATAAAGCAAATGGACACTTTTTTTAAACAAAAATAAAATGCATCTAATTCTTTTTTAATTAGGAAATCAAAATCACTAGTACCCAGTGTTGCCTCCCCTTGCTTGAATAACGGCCTATACTTTTGTAGGCATACTATGAATAAGGTTGGCTACCTGATTTTAAATCTGATCCCGTTCACGTACTTGGAGGTCACATGGAGGTTTCTACTGTCAACGGATAGACGTCCCAAGTTGGTCCCAAAGATGCTTAATAGGATTGAAGTCCGGGCTGCTTGCTAGCTACTCTAATAGCTAAGTGCGGTTACTAACCTCTTCTAGGTAGTCTCATACAAAAGTTTCGATGTTCGGTCGAGCATCATCCTGCATAAAAAGGAAACAGAGGGTAATAAACTGGCCAAAAGGTACCACATATTCCTTTGAGGATGTTGGTGATGTACGTGTGAACATTGGCCTTTACAACACATGTAGGTCTGTATTTGACTCTAGACATATTCCAACCTATACCATCACCGACCCTCCTTCGAACTGCACTCTTTCCGCTATATTGACCTGAGCTTATTGCTTACTTGTTCTTCTCCACACTTGAACTAGTCCGTCTGCACCATAAAGGCTATTCCTGGACTCTTCATAAAACAGAACAGAGGCCAAATCATCTTCTGTCCAGGCAGGACTGTCCGCCGAACCATTGTTTCAGGCAGCCTGTGGACTCCGGCCGCTTATCACAGTCTTCAACTGTTCTCAATTAACACTGTAATCTGAGGACTGCCACAGGATCCAAAACCATGATTTTATACTCTTAAAAATGTAAGTATGTATAAGTATTGTTTTTCAAGAAAAATAAATAAATAAAAGCATAACCAATGCGATTGAACCGGAATAAGAGAGAATTATGAACTTTTCTCGAAAGAATTGATGCATGGTAATCCCTTTGACCTGTCATATACCTGTTATTACTTCAGGCTCTAAAGAAATATCTTTAATCTGCATTTTTTATATAAAATTCAAGGTGTGCCACTTTTTTTTTTTTTACCACCAGTTTATTTATAAATGTAGCTTATATTATATTGTAGGTATCTTCTATTCTCCTGATCAAAGAAACCTGCTTTTATCCATTTTTATTTATTTTATTTTTTTCATTAATTTATTTGATTGAAGGGATTTAAGTCATGGTAGCCCTGCAAGCAGGCCCTAAAAATGGTACTCATCGCAGGCAAAGGTTTGAATGTTAATTATGAACGTGTATGTTACTCTAAGTAAAATGAAACTTGTCTGCCATTCAAAAACTAAGGCAAATTACTATTAATGGCTCTGCAGCTGCAAATTAGTCCTCTATTAGAAAACAATTATAGAATAAAAATTTTACAGCATCAAATTCCGCATTCACCAAATACCAAAATTTTTATGTAGGTAAATTACATCTCTTGAATCAGGATTCGTTATTTCTTCATGCGTTTCTTTTGACACCTTATTTCTCAAAATCCTTCTCTCCTGAAGAGGCCTATACTGTATATAGCAGATTCTCAACAAGAATAATTCATTGTAATAAATGCATATGCTGTTGAAATATTAAAACATAGCTTCACAACCAATTATTTGCTATGGGGGAGATGACCAATTTCGAGCAAAGTTAAGTGATCTATACTAAACACGGTAGATAATTGGCAGCTTCATTATGGGGCTCGTAATCTCCTATTTCATTGCTCCATAGTTAATGGGTAAGTGCATTTTATACCTTCCTGCCAGGTGATTTGAGCAGCCATTTCTGACGTGAGTAACAGGCGTTGACCAGGTAGCCATCCAATTTAGGAACCGTCGCACCTGGATTTTGCTAGTTATGGTCCGCCCTTGTTATTTTATTTTCCCGGCACCCTCCATATCTGGTGTGTATTCCCCTATCCGCCACCTGGGGAATAATAGCTTCACAGTTATTATTATTATTAAATAACTTCTTGATTAATATCTTTAGCAAGAAGCCCTTAGTGAAGATCTTGATCGAGAGAAACTCTAAGACTATGAAAGAAGTGTTTGTTGACAGGTTTTTTTACTATACTACTTAATCAAATTATTAAGTTTAGGTACTCAATTGACTCAAAAGTTAACATTATTTAATTTGTTAAAGAGTGATTGTTTCATTTCGATGCACCATTCAGGAGTTATATCTAAAAAAAAAAAAATATGGCTTTTTTGGCTGTAAAAAGTTTCTCCTTGGTGGCCCGCTTTAGAAATTTTGTTTTTTACATGTTTGAACCCAGGTTAAAAAATCAAAAAATTTTCCCACATGTTTTGAAATATATTTCCCGATTTGATCCTCAAACCACTGGCCTAATGTTCTTTAAATCAGCCATTATTTTTCAAGGCAGTGGCACTGGAATGGCAGGCAAGGCTTATTTTACTTAGAAGATGTAGAATATCACAGCTTATGCCATGTGATGCGTGAGCCTATTATATATAGTACCACAAGAGTTAGTCTTATTTTTCCAAATTACCACTTCTAAGGTGAGATTGAATTGTACAGGTGATAATAAGTCCCATTGTCTTAAGCCACTGTTAACCTTGTAGCTATCCGATATACCCACTATGGTTTTGACACATAAATATGAGCAAAATCTATAAGGCTTAAACTGTTGAAAGAAAAAATGGTCCCAAGTCAACCTCAATGTTTCCCCAATGATATGTTAGCTCTTTTTCGTTTTTTTATCAAACTCTAAAATTATATTTATTGATTTGTATAATTGCAATTAAGTCATGTTAATTTATATAAAATAAAATGTAAATAATTTTACTTCATAATTGCTTTTAGTCTCTATTGGAATAACAGTCAATAAATTTCTTATCAGTACTCTATTGGTTCCCCTCACAAACTTAAAATTAGTAATTTAACACTATATTTACAGTAAACCTTTTGTTTCTGAAAATCAACATTAATTGTCTTATCCACTTTGAGTACTTACCCTTCAATTGCATTAAGGTGAAACAGTTTGTGGATACATGCAACATTCTTCAAAATAAAAAAAATAGAGACCATATTGATGTATGAAAAAAATGTATACATTTTTTCATAGTTACTTTTGTTATTTTACAGTTTCATCAGGAAAATTTTATTTGTAAAACTCTTCATCTTTTACACATTAAATTACCATTTTTTTTTAAAAACTATGTTACAGAATTTTTTTTAGTTTTGTGTAACCCTCTATTATTATATTAAGTATTAATAATCTTTTTTAGGTGTTAAAAGTTGCAATACTAGCCGAAAAATATGCTACTGACTATACTTGGTATGTTGATGTTATACTCAATCTCATTCGAATAGCCGGAGATTATGTTTCTGAAGAAGTCTGGTACAGAGTTATTCAAATAGTAATTAACCGTGATGATGTCCAAGGCTATGCTGCTAAAACTGTTTTTGAGGTACATTATCACATTTTGCCACTCATGTTATCTTCTTGCTAAACACACTTACCATTTCCTTGTCTCATCACTCATTTTCCCTCACTTTCTCTGACTTTGTTTGATTTACAATTGAGTTTCTGGTGAATATGTTTTAAACTTTATTTTTTAAGAACTCTATCTTGTAATGTTCCCTCTCTTTCAATTAACATTTTAATCTCATCTCTTGATCCATCTTCTTTTTCTTCAAGAATCATAATTTATTTTTATGAATTTATTGGCCCATTTAAGTAACTTATTCTAAGGAAACATCATCCACAAGAATAAATAAATTCATTTTAATTTTATATTTTCTTTTTGTGTTCTATTTCGTATAGTAAATATTTTTTTTCATTTAGGCACTTCAAGCACCTGCTTGTCATGAAAATATGGTGAAGGTCGGTGGCTATATATTAGGGGAATTTGGAAATTTAATTGCTGGTGATAAAAGATCTGCTCCTATCGTACAGTTTCAACTGCTTCATTCAAAGGTAATTAATTCACTTTGAGTACTTTTCCTGCATAAGCCCCTTGGCGATATTTATTTATTAACTTCTTAAAGCTTTGCTATTATTGCTGCTTAATCATGTGTCATACTCCTAATATAGATGTTCTCTTAATACATGGGTAACTTCTATCTGGTTAAGCTTTATATCAAGCTGTTTTCAGAAAAAAAGAAAACTTTTTTTCAGATTATGGAACATTTTTCATGTAACTGCATTTATGCAATGGGACATTTTTATTATTTTGACTGAATCAAATCATTTTTATTTTTTAATATTGACACTCAGTCGATAATCTTAATAAGTGTGACCAAGATCAAACATGTTATTTCCTGGGAAATTTGAAATTTTAGTAATGACAATTTCAATTTAATAATTATTTTTATTTTTTAAGACCTTAGGTTTAGGAAATCAGCAGGAGTAGATTTGTTTTTGCCACCTACAGGCAAGACAAATAATCCAACTGTTGCTATCTCCCAAAGTAATTATTGCTTTATAATTAAAACTAACAAGGAGAGGATATAGTCTGTGAGTCACAGATTTCAACAAAATTTTTTTTGGTGATACTACATCGAAAAATATTGGTTACATATCCTGTTGTTCTTTCCAATGGACCCTAGGAACCGAGAAAAAAATATTTTATATAATTTCAAACAATAAAAAATAAAAGATGCTTCCATTAAAGTACGCCAAGTAAATTTTTGATACGAAAAAGCAAATTAGATTCATTTTTAGTGCCATTTAAAACTCTTAAATTCAAATTGTCTCTTAAATCCGGCAGCTAAAGCATTCATAACTCCTCAGGAATTTTTCAAATTAGACTTTAATATAACCAGGGCCGAAAATCCGCCTAAGAATGCTCCTCTCGAATACAAGAAGCCTAAACTCATCCACCTTTTTGAACCATAAGTGAGGACTGGGCGGACCAGGGTCTTGTAGAGTTTGATCTTGGTCCAGCATTCTGCTTCTAAAATGTTTGGCAAGGCCAAAGTAGCAATGGTTAGCTGCTGCAATCCTTTTTACTTCCTGAGTAGTGTCATTTTCGGATTTGATTTCTGAATCCAAATAGATGAAACTGCTTACCTTCTGAAAACGGTACTCTTCTGCATCAAAATATCCAACTCCTGGTTCGGCTCCTCCAATTCCCATTTATTTCGTCTTGGCCTCATTAACAACTAGGCCAAGATCCCTAGAAGCAATTTCTAGAGCCAGGAATGATTCTCCAATCTGGCAGCAATATCAAAATCATTCACATATCCCAGAAGCTGGACTCTGCTGTTAAGCAGTGTTGATCGGAGTTGGATTCCAGAATTCCTTACCGCTTTCTCTCCTGCAAAATTATAAAGGAGGCTGGCCAAAGCTTCTCCTTGCCTAACACCACCATTTGTGAGAAAGAGATCAGAAAGATCGATGCCCACGCGCACCATAAACTTTCAACACTTCATTGTCATCTTAACCAGTCTCACTAATTTCATCAGGACGTTCATTTCTTTTAGGGCCTGGTAAACATCTGGTCGCGTAACACTGTCGTCATATGTGGATTTGAAATCGACAAAGAGATGATGAGTTACGATTTTATACATACATACATACATAATTTGATGCAACAATCTGTTAACGGATCTAGGCCTCCTCCAAAAGTCTGCCAGTTGGCCCTGTCTGTTGCTACAGCTCTCCAGTTTCTTGCACCGAGGAGATTGTGTGCGTCCGCTGTGACGGAGTCAGCCCACCTCACACTCGGCCTACCCACTCCTCGCCTGCCATGAAGCTCATCTGCCAATGCCCTCTTTGGGATCTTGTCCACCTTCATCCTCGCCACATGGCCCGCTTATCGAAGTCTTCCAATCTTAATTTACTTGATGATATCAGGATTTCTGCACAGCCTTGATAGTTCCTGGTTCTTCCTCCTTTTCCAGGTGTCTCCCTCTCTAACCGGTCCGAAAGTACTTCTCAATATCTTCCGTTCAAACACCCGAAGGAGATTCTCACTAGCTCTAGTGAAGACCCAGGTCTCTGACCCATACTTAAGAACCGGATGTATCAGGGTCTTATATTGGCCAATCTTGGTCTTGTTGGAGAGGAGTCTGCTCTTGAAGTACTTTGCTAGCCCAAAATAGCTTCGATTGGCTGCAGCAATTCTATGGTTGATCTCCTGGAATAGGTCGTTTTGGGTGTTTATTTCTGAACCCAGATATACGAAACTTCGCACCCTCTCAAATCTGTATGGTCCAACTTCAAAGAAACCTGTCCCTGCCTCAGATGGTCCTATTCTTAAATACTTTGTCTTGGCTTCATTGATGACCAAGCCAAGAATTTTCATTTCTTGTTCTAGAGCCAAGAATGCTTCTCTTAGGGCACGCTCCGGTCTGGCAGCTATGTCGAAGTCATCTGTGTACCCTAGTAATTGGACCGTACTGTTAAATAGGGTGGCTCTATTCCCAATCTACCCACTGCTCACTTCACCACGAAATTAAAGAGAATACAATTTTATACGCTTTGCATTTTTCTAACATCAATCTCAATGTAAATATTTGGTCCATAGTGGATCTTCCCCTTTTAAATCCTGCCTGATACTTCCTGATCTCTCTATCCGCATGGGGGACCAATCTCTTGAAGAGGATATTTATATGCCTCAGTTTTCTTGACTGGTGCTTTGTATTTGGTGGCCTAGCATTTCTTCAGAGCTCGGATATTCCCGTCCACTGTTCATCAGGAGTATCATTTCTGCTCCTCAATTCTTCTGCAAGCTGTATTCTGAGATTCTCCTGATAGGCTCCACACATATCCATATCCTGCAGCTTGGAGACGTGGAATTTTTTCTGTATCATCCCAACCTTGTTCCGTACTGCATGCCAATGGTCCGTATCTGCATTGGCTCCTCCGTAAGTTCTGTATATCTTCCATTACCCTCTCCTGATAGAAGGGAACTCCTTTGTGTGTACTGTGGTTGACCTCATGTTGAGTGTAAGTGCTTAGTGTCTTGTTCTAGTGAATATACATAATCTACTGAATAGTGATAACCCATGGAGGTACTGCATACAGCAGTAACACCTTGCAGGTACCCATTCACCAATTTTACTAAACTTTAATTATCTAATCTTTAGAGATGGGTAATTAGTCGACTGATCAATTATTAGGATGAAACAATGTCGGCATTTACAATTAAGAATTGTTATTAGGTTAGCCGTTGTTTCAACCCAAACATGTGGATCATCCTTAGTGATATCGTTTGGGACAACTGCCCTGATGATGATCCACATGTTTAGGTCGAAACGTCGGCTAACCTAATAAAAATTCTTGACTTTAAATCCTGACAACTTTGTGTCATCCTAATTATCTAATCGTTTTCATTCTCCTTTTAAAGGTTTAAGTTGTAATAATAGAATTAAAGTTTTGTTATTTGTTGATACTATACTTGGGTAACTTAATATTTGTTGTCCCAACTTTATATTTCATCCTGCTTTCTTTTTATTAAGTCGAACTTTTCTTTCACACTTAATAATTATCATTTAAATTAAAATTATACTCTATGATAAGAAAAAGTAAAGTATCATAGAAGCTCACTCTTGTAAGTACCACAATTATTGCTTCTTCTTAAACAAGCTCTCTGAGTTTGAACAAGAAATATGTTTGGTTTCTTATAAATTATGTTTTGTTTATCTCATTTATTGTGTTAAGAAAAAAATCGAGGTTTCTAACAAGTGTTCAAGATTTTCGATACTTAGAGATTCATCTGTATTTTGTTATGAAGAAATGTTTACTTTACTGAATATTGATGGTGATAAAAATTAGGTTAGAATTAACTAATTGAATAAAAATGATAGTGAATTAAAAATTTTCTAAAAAGTATGAGTAATTACATTGTTATTAATTAGGAACGCTGATACTCATTGAAGTATTATTACACTTATTGTGTGTTCTATTTACTGACTGCAAACAAATTTATAATTACATCTATGGTCTATGATATCTATGCTGTTATTAATTATATTTAATCTGGAAAGATTGCCTTTCAGTTTAAGAAGTATATATAGATGTCATAAGTATTGTGATGTTCTCTGTGTAAATTAATATATATATAATTTTTTTTTTTTTTCAGTATCACCTTTGCTCTCCAATGACAAGAGCTTTACTCCTATCTACATATGTTAAGTTTGTAAATTTGTTCCCTGAAGTTAAACAAGTTGTTCAAGAAGTTTTCCGACAACATAGTAATCTTCGTAGTGCTGATGCAGAATTACAGCAAAGAGCTTCTGAATACCTTCAGTTGAGCATTATTGCTTCTACAGATGTTTTGGTATATCTTAATATTTATACTTTTCAAAATATCTTTCATTCTTTATAAAAGCATTCCTCTAATTAAGTTAAGCATTTTTATAACTTAAATTTCCTAACCTTTCCACTTATTCTTGCCTGTTATATTAAATATTTCACTGCATTTTGTTTTGATTTTTTTTCACCTTAATTTTTCCTCTTTTTATATTCTTATTGTTTTAATTTAATTCTAATCAATTGAATTTTTCCTTTGAACAGTTCAATTGTTTCGATTGCAGTGTACTCTTATTTGGCCTCATTTTTGTATGTTATTTATTATATGTGTACACTTCTTACTGTTGGGCATTACTTCTCTGGGGACAGAATGGCTGTGCACCTACTTCTCTGGACTCCTATTAAGTCTAAGCCTCTACTTGTCTAATCTCTCCTTTTTATTTAAAAAAAAATTAATTAATCATAATATATATGATATAGTTTGGCCATCTCTGCTTGCACAACCTAATATTGTGATTTTTTCAAACTGATTATTTTGTCTTTAGTAAACTGATTTCTGATGCCTTAGTGATGGACAGGTGTGCAAATGTGACTGAGTTATGGCTTCGAGTTGGCATAGTGAACTCTCAAGGACCACATATGGTTCACTAGGAAATCGTGATCAGTCTGTATCTGGAAGAAAAAAAAACAGGTTTCTCGGTATTGGTTCATTCAGCAAGGGTGTCCATGATTCACTAAATCTCAGTTCTCTTGTGCTCCTAAAAGTTTCTTCTTTTTTTTTTTTGGCCTCTTTCATACGTTAGACCAAATTATAGGTTATAGATAGTTTTGGCTGGGAATCAGAGGTACCACTATTGGAAAGCATATTTGCTTTTTCATAGCCATCGATTTGGCAGGGGAAAGGAACCTATTGCATCCCATAGAATATCCTCAGCAGCGACTTTTACTTTTTTTTTTTCCTTTCTAAAACAATTGCTAAATATTTCCATATATAATATTGTTCCACCAAGTGAGGAGGCAATGAAGGAACATTCGTTCCACATATTCCATCAGGTGCAGCTTCTGGTTTAGAAACCAACTACCTCTACAATTGTGGGGTTGGAAGCGTAAGCAGAATTATTTAATTCCAGTGCTGACTAGAGATCCTATGTATAGCAACAAAAGGTTATTAGATTCTATATTCTACAAATGCACTACAGATTGTGGATTACAAGAAACCAGACATGAAAGTTATGGGACCGCCATGACAACATTCATAGGAGAACAGGATGGTTCCAATGGTTATAACATAAATTATAAATTAGGCCTTTATATTTATATTAATTATAATAAATATTAATAAGAAATTTCTTGTTCATCATAATTTATAAAAATAACACACACAAATTAGGCCCAAATAAAAGTTTTAAGTTCTAAATCCAAGTCAGTTAATCAGAAAAGTTAAAAAAAAAATCCCAAAATAATGAATTCTGACAACATAAGTATTAATGGGTCCACTCATTTAATTTTATTTAACCACCATTGCTTCATTAATATGATTTGCTACTGTTTTTAATGTTATTTAAAAAAAAGTTATACATTTATTTTTTTAAAAACAAGTTGTACTTTGTAGGCAACTGTTTTAGAAGAAATGCCATCATTTCCTGAAAGGGAATCATCAATTTTAGCTGTTTTGAAGAAAAAGAAACCTGGAAGAGTACCAGAAAATGAAATCCGCCCTGCTCTGACACACAATATGAATTCATCTGAACATACTACAAATCACAATTCAAATAACCTAGTAAGATTAATTGTTAATAATTTAAGATTTAGGATAATGTTTTATTTAAGTATTGTAGTTTTAATTTCATATTGGCTCATGTGTCATTGGTGTAAATGTCTCATTGAATAAGACATCTCTATAAAATATTCACTACTAAGTAAGTATTAAATCTAGTCACTTATATAATTGGAATTCGCAAGAATTGGAACCCTAAAAAGCCCATAGTTGGAATCCTATATCAAAAATATACATTAACTTACTATATATTTTAAACTCTATTCTATAATCTAAAAATATGGGCCCAAAAATGATGAGGTAAGTTGATTGAGAATATCTGGTATCAAAGGGGAAAAAGTTATAACTTTTATACCCTGAAGTACTTGTATGTTGAGTCTTATTTTTTAAAATTAAATGTGTGGTCTATTACTATTTTATTTTTCAACTCCAATCACTTTTTTAGAGTTCTATTGGATATTAAGAAATTACTTAAAATCGTTAGGGTGTTCTATCAACACAGCTTTCTAAGGTTCATTTATAACAGTTATCAAGATGCCTAATTGACTGTAGTTCCTTTGGTGGACACTCATGTTATCATATTGCAGGAGATCATGATAGATCTTACATGTACCTTATCCAATTATTTCAAATCTTATCACTCAGCTGCTAGAGTTTGATACTTGTAGGTTTATCTGCACTAACTGAATTAGTAATTTTGTTATTTGATTTAGCAATATCTGTATTATTACAGCTATTTTAATACTACCATTAATAAACACAGCAGAGGATTAGTACAGTTAGTAATCCAGGAGTCTCTTAACTGACATAATGCAGAGTAGTATCTTCTGGATAATGCTTAGTTCTACTGTGTGGGTGATTCAGAATTTCTGTTTTATGTAAGATGATATGTGATATGTATCTTCATTGCCATTACGATAAATTTCTGAAATTAAATTTGCAATCATCTCATCGAAATTATTCTCCTTTTTCTTCTCTGTTCATCCTATTGTTAATATCTTTCTTCTTGATTGTTTTCAGCTACTAGCATTTTATTTTGTGACAACTATATGTTCCTCTCTATTAGTTTACCTTCAGGAGCTTCTCGGTGTAAAATATCCAATTGCAACATTAAAGTTTAATTCAGGAATAAATGAATTATTTTTATTTGGCCAATGAACTGATTTGGAATTTTCAAATTAAAAAAAAAATATGTAATAATAAAATTCAATAATAGATAATTAAACTTAATGTGATTTATCCTTTATAATTGGTTAATAAGATGAATTTCGAGGGTTACCCTAAATAGACAAAAATGCTATTCAGCAATGGTAAAAAGAGACTTGGCAATATGTAAAGTGAGAGTTTTTTCAATGAAATAAAAGTCTTCAATAGTTGAAGACTTGAAACTCTTGATCATAGAGCTATGTGCTCTTCTATGCAGTCATGTAGCTTGCTGATTTGTTAAGTAGTTACTTGACAAACCACATATAGCATCGAGAGCAATGATACATATATCATGGAGGGGAAAGCATGGCTGCTGATGGCAAAATATAGTCTTGAGCTTGAATACATTGGAAGATACATAAAACTAACTGGAGTTCATAAAATGTTACCCACAGACACTCTCACTCATATTAAAACATGTGTTTAACTAAGTTCTATCTGATCAATAGTTAAATTGTATGAAACTAATTACTATACATACTAAAAAAAAAGTTATAAGGAACGCGTAAAGAATATAGTTTGAAAAACAGGTTAAAGAAATGGAATAGAATTTTAAGAAACTTAATATGAAACTATTTTACAGGATGTTCAAAATGAAAATTAAAGGATACACCATGGTTCACAGGATTATTTTTTCTAAGTTAATAAATATAGATTTAGAAAGTAGTTGTTTTTGCTTTTTGGGAACTGTGGCTAATGCCTGTGCACAGCACCGTGCATTGCTCAGCAACCCGGATCAAAGATAATTAGATAAGAATAATTATGAGTTCGCGTCCCAGTGCCTGGTTTTTAACTCTAGCATTAATCCTCACCCCCTGACCTGGAAAAATCCTGTATAGCCTATAAGGCGAGGAAGAGGACAGAAATTAAAAAAAAAAAATATGACTATCATCAGAAAACATTTTTACACTTAGTACTAACTGATCAAAAAATGTTTTTTTGAAGATAAAAGAGTCCATCCCTGCACTTTTTGATTTTAATACTTCAGCATATTTTCCATATTCACATTTTTGAAAGGTCTAGTTTTTTTTTGTTTGACTAACAACTAACTAATTTTAAGTTTGTGGTTGCCACTTTAACAAGTTCAGTACTGTTTTATCAATCATAAAAACAATGAAAAAAGTATATAGCGTACACTAACCCCCTCTTCAATCTGTGGCCTTCCACACCTTCTATTGCCTATTGCCACTTACGCTCACAAATAATTTTCCTCTTTTTTTCAAGGTTTTGTTCAATATAAACATTTAATAAATAGAACAAAGCTTGGGCCTGTCAGTCTACTGGAGGCATCTCAAACCGACCAGGTGTAGGAGTGATGATCCTACCACATATACTTAAATTGGAAATCACGTTGTGGTTTTCCAGGATTCAGTAGTCTCCCTGAGGTTTTGTAGACCCTCATGGATGGTCTGTTTTGGAGGAAAGTTATAGAGCATAGGTACTTGTAAGTTGTTGAGTATAGGTACCGCGATAATCCATGGATCTAGATCGATTTGTCACTGCCCTTGAACCCGAGTGAGTCGGTGGGATGGACACTGCCAGATTGGCCCCAAAGGGATCGGCTATGGAGCTATGGGTGGCCTGTCACTGCACCATGGAGACTGTGGTTAGCAGCAACGTGAGGTTGGGTGACCTCCTCCAGGCTATCTGTGCTCCCGTAAATAACGTACGTCTGTAAGGTGACTACATCTCATTGCCAAAGATCTTCATGGTCTGTAGTGCCAACCGAAAAATATATATATGTATATATATATATATTATTTGGAAAGTTGCTTGAGTCAATTTAAAAAAAAAAAAAAAAAACGAGCTAGCTACCTTAATTGTTACATTTTTACATAACCTTTTTACTCTGAAGCACATTGTTTCTAGTATAGTTAAAATCAATAAGATTTGTTATCACAAAAATTTGCTGGTTAATGAAGTAATGAAAAAGTTTATTTTGAATTACATTTATGGTATTAGTCCCACTGTGAGAGTTTCAAATGGATATGGAAAATATTATGCAATGAAGTTTTTTGAAATACAGCTTTATATTTTCAAAGCAGCAATTAAATTATCAATGTGTAATGAATTTCTTATGAACAATTTAATTTCAAAAATCACTTTTGTTCCACAAACAGGTTCATATGGGTCTCCGGATATGCTTTTGTAATTTTCAACAATTTTTTTATAATTTGTTTTTAACAAATTAAATTACATTAAAACTTTACAAGATTATGGAATATATTAAAATATTCAAAGAGAAAAGTTGTAAATTTCAATGTAAAAAGTAAAAAACATTGAAAAAGTGTGTCGAACTTAAGAATTTAAACTCCGCATATCAGATCTGTCACGGTACACAGAGCAATGTTGTTTTTATGTATCATTTATTTTTAATATATTGATGTATCTGCTATATGAGCATTCATTTCTTCCTAATGATAAAGATATCGGAGTAATAGAAGTGACATAAAAAAACAAAACAATCTATCATTTGTTCCTCAGAAATTTTATGAAGTTATAAAAAAATAAGTTCATTTCAATTAAGCCTCTATAATATGTGACTGCTAGAGGCCAAGAAATACTGATGTCGAAAGAATAATTTGGTTTAAAATATGTTGGATGATATGTTTTAGAAGCAATCCATATACAAAGCGGCAATGAACAAGAATGCATCATTCAAAACATTGATTTTATTACTCCAACGGGGAAGACTGAAAAACCTTAATAATAACAAGTTGGCACTATTCTACAAAAAAAAAAAAAAAACCACTCACAAACCTAAAATGCTATGACTTAATGGATTTATTACATTGTATACCACCTACACATCATAGTTATTTTGGAAACATTTATTGGAGAAGACTGTATTATAGTTAATAAAACAACATTAATTTTACTATTAAAATTATTTAACAAAGAATAAAAGTTTTTTTTATTTTATTTTATAAGATAAAGGTTTATAAATTTATTTTCATTTCAAGGGAAATTTACTTTTCCTATGGACTAATGCTTTCTCAATAGTTTAAAACATTATTTTATCGATTTTGAAAATGGTTTAAATTCTTTCATAGCCTTTAGAAACATGTTATTTCTTAAATAATAGTTATGCTAATTGCAATGATAATTTTGACACTCTTAGAAACCTGAAGATATTATTCTACTGTGTTATATGTTACCTATACTTATAAATTCCACCCAATACACATCCTTCAATACCTTAATTCAAATATAATTGGACTTACACTATTTTCAAAATAAACTACTCATATATAAACACATAAACCCACACATTGTATATACTCACACAATTCCTTAACATTATAACAATTTCGAATATTTAATTGTTAACCGTTGAATTATAAAGGAAGGAGATGGTCTGGGGTGGCGGTCATAAAAAGGCTAAATAGTGGCAAAAACTATTTTATTAAAAGCCAACGGACAAGACAAAAAGATTGAATTCTCAATTCTTTATATCTTTTTGTATCTTGTCCGTTTTAGCCATGAAGAAGACATGCAAAGTCGGGTCAAAACGTTGGCTTTTAATAAAATAGTTTTGCCACTATTTAGCCTTTTTATGACCGCCACCCCGGATCATCTCCTTCTTTTATAATAATTTCTCTTGCATTAGTCAGTTTTTTTTTATTGTGGATATTTAATCACAGATTTAAAATAATTATTATTTTACAGACTAGTTCTGCTGCTACAAATAATGCTGCAACTGACCTTCTGGGACTTTCAACTCCTCCAGCACCAACTAATACTGGGGTCCTTTTAGATGTTCTAGTTGGTGATATTTATGGTGGGGGAAATGCCATCAATAATACTCCATCTAGCACTATTCAGCAAAACACTTATAATCCTAAAAAGTAAGATTTACTAATTTATTAATGGTGGCATTGCCTATACACTCAAGAAAATTACTATCTGTTTTCTTCTTATAGGTTTATATGTAAAAATAATGGAGTTTTATTTGAAAATGACTTGATTCAAATTGGTGTTAAATGTGAATTCAGACAGAATTTAGGAAGGTTGGGATTATTTTATGGAAATAAGACATCTTTTCCTTTGCAGGTACATACAATTAAGTATATTATATTTTGAATATTTTCTTTCATAATGTTACATATATATAATTAAATTAACATCGAACTCTTACTTAATTATGTTTATCCACTGAGGGCTGTTTTTTGTTTGTCTTCTTCATTAATTGGTATTTGATAATAAGCATGACTAAGGTCCAACTTGAAAAAACATGTTTTATTGAATAGCATTTAACTTATATCCTCTATCATAGGAATAGGGTACCTGCCACGCAGTATTCTGTCATTTCGGATTCTATAATATCCACATATTCACGATTAGCCATTTTTCTTTGACACCAAGTGCAAAGGGCATGTCCATGGCCACCACTTGACTTGAAGGTTAAAGAATTCCATTGTTGGTCATACTCCCAAATTCTCGTTTACCAACATGCAGCTTTTTCGGATCTAGCCTCCTGGGTCTGCTGAAAATGGATGGCATATCACCAGTGACAGTGTGGTACCTCACATGATTGGCTTTCATATTCAATAAAAATGGTTTAGTTGAATCTGGAAATTTACTTAGAATTTTTAAAAATTGACAAGTTGCCTTAAAAGAACTCAACAATTGCATTTCATTTATTCCAAGTATTTTATATGTAACAGCTAGCTTTCTATTACTGTCAATGAGCTTTTTTTTTTATTACTCTCACTTACTTATATATGAAATATATAGTGAGGGTAAGTATTGTGATCGTGAAAATTTTTGAATCTGAATTTCAACGGAAATACATGTTTTGAGGTCTCTTGAGTCCAAATAATCAAGTCGCACAAAATGGTCTACCTCAAAAACGGAAAGTCGTACAAACCTTATATTAGGTATTTAAGATAGGTATATACCTTAGATGTTGTAACAACTTTTTCCTTAAAATCGGCAAACTGGAAGTGCCACTTTATATCAACGGTGAAACACATTTTTACAATTTTCTCAAAAACGGCTCTAACAATTTTGATTAAACTCTGTGAAGCACTGTATAATTAAGTGGTCTTTAATATAATATAGGTCTTATCCCCATTGATGTCACTTTACAGGGCTTAAATACACAATGTTCGTATACGTCTTCCTCTAAAGTACCTTTAATATGGTTTATTTAATAAAGTTAACTCTCTTTTATTGACAGAAACTATAAAAAATGGCTAAATATGAAGTTTGGAAGAATATGATAATTGGAAACTGGAGATAAAAAGAAAAATGCTTATCCAGTTTGAAAATGAATCTCCGGAAATAACAGTCAGAAGGTATAGGTATAGTATATCGTTGGAAAGGGGAGAATTTTAGAAAAAATAATTTTAAATAAATAAAGTTGTAGGAGGTAACGGAGAGTGCCAAAAAAAATATAAATATTAATTTCAGAAAACTAAACTTAAATCACATGTTTCCAATGAAATTAAATGAAATTTTCTTACTAAATGTAAACTTTTAAAGTTTTTTCTAAAAAAAGAGTATTTAAAATCCACGAAATCAAGCCAATGCCATTGTTTAAAAAACTATTTCATTGTACTTGTGTGAAAGAAAAAGTGAAATATAAAAATATTTCATGGGTACATTTATAACCTTAAGTACTTTTGCTGTAGTTTAGTAACTCTAGATATGATATTATATTTAAATAATTAGGTATCAACATCCCGTTTATTTTGAAAAATCGTCACATAACTTTAAAAAAAATTAAATTAGAGAATAATTTGATGAATTTTCCCTTTGTGAAATCCCAAAATTATCGTGTCTTCCTCTAAAGTACCTTTAATTTGGTTTATCATATGTATTAACTTTTTCTCGTTGTTAGGAGTTATGAAAAAAAGCTAAATATAACTTTTGAAAGAATTTGGTAATTGAATATAGGAGAAAAATACATATCTAGACCGAATAATTCCAATGATATATTATACGTATACCTTCTGACAATTATTTTCGGAAATTCATTTTCGACTTGGACAAGCATTTTTATTTTTTTCTCCTTCATTCAATTATCAAATTCTTTCAAAATTTATATTTAGCATTTTTTCATAGCTCTAAATATTGTGAGATAACGAAAAAGTTTAAAATAGCTATAACTGTATACTGGTTAAAGTTTTCTAATTGGAAATTCTAATAGGGAATTTAAGTCTCTACAACTTCTTTTAAATGAATTTGTTTCGCTGAGGTATAGCTTAGACAATATGAAGTAATGTTTGATGAAAAATGTGAGGTAAATATTTTTTTTTTTCAAAAATGTCAACTTTTTCCAAGCGTTCAGCTCGAAAACTGTTTAGAATTCGAGGAAAATCTATAGAATAAAAGTTTTAGATAATTTTATTAAATTTCATTTTCTATTTTGACGATTTTCCCTTGTGACGCATCGTTTTCGATATCTAAGTGGAAACCTGAAAATTGTGACCTTTCCTCCCTCCTCCCCTTTCCGCTCACCACCTAGACGTCAGGTTTTGTCTTTTGATATGTTTATATCCTAAGGCCAAGAACAAGTTTCTAAAGGAATTGTTTTGTTCACTGCTCACGCACTCTAACCCCCTTTATGCCCATTCATTGACTGGACTAAATATTGTAATGCAGATGGAGTAAACTACACCATTGGCCTTCTTGACTCTATTGGTCGAGCCTTCCATCCATGCTGAAAATCGTGGTAAAGTACTGGTAGTTTCCTACCTTTTCTAACGGCTCATTATTACTTTTGGATTGAAGGAAATTTTGATCAAAAATGTGAGGCTAAATGATTTTTTTCAAAAATGTCAACTTTTTTCGAGCATGTACTCGAAAATAGTTTAGAATTCAGATGAAACCTATAGAATAAAAGTTATAGATAATTTTGTAAACTTTAATTAATTATACGAAAAATTTCCCCTTTGATGCACTGTTTTCAAGATATAAGCAAAAATTCTAAGATTGTGACCTTTCCTCTCTCTTGGCTCACCACCTAGGCCTCAGGACTTTGATATGTTGATACTCTAAGCACCCTGAACAAGTTTCTGAAGGAATCACTTAGGTCCCTGCTCGCCGACTCTATACCTACTTTATTGACTGGACTAATTAGAGAAACAGGAGATGAAGAAGAAAACAAAAATAGCAGTATTTAAAACAGTATTTTTGTCTGTCCTTTTGTATGGTGCAGAAAGTTGGACGGTCCTAGAAACACATATTAGTAAAGTAACGGCCATAGAAATAAGATACCTCAGGAGAGTTCCTAGGAAAAAAATGTTCACGATCAGTAAAAAAAAACATCTGTGTGTCCACTCACACGACTTTCCTACCTATTTCAGATAAGTTTTTATATTCTTACATATGTTCATGAAGAAACAAAAAAGAATTGAACTAAATTTATTTTCCTGAAAATTAAACAAACAAAAGATTTGAGTACGATTTATTTGATAAATTAAAGCAATGAAACCAGCTTCAGGTAGATCAGTGTAAAAAATTCAATACTCACTAATATTGCTGATCAAAAACTTTTTGCCATAGCTTAGTATTGTCAAACAATAATTTCTGTTAAAAGTAGAGAAAAAAGTGAATGTTGTGTTTTTCGGACTCGGGGGGCGGTGAAACGTATAGATCCGTCGAAAACCGCATGTCAGAAATTTGACTCGATTGCAATACTTTCCTTACCCAGTATAGGTAGGAAAGTAATAAAATAAGTTTAAAAAATGTGTAAAAAATAGAATAAGCTGTATCATCGCTAATACTGGTTCGATTACGATGATTTTTTTTTGTTTTGTTGGTAATTTAATTACCTTTCAAAAGTTTTATTATAGATTTCACCGTATAATATATACTTAGAGAGTTAGGCCCCATAACATTTTTCTTTTCCTTTTAACTTTTTTTTCTGAAGTTTTTGAGGAATTTAGTTTATATACGAAAGTTAAAAAAACAGTGATTAGAACATTATAGGAAAGTTTCATCAAAATCGTTAGAGCCGTTTTTGCGCTACAGTCTATAGAAAAACATGTTTTTCATTTATTGCGCATGGAGCAATGAATTTCTGTCACAGCCATCAGTAGTCGAAACCCTACAAAATAAAAAAAGAAGCAACAAAATCAGTTCAGTAGTTCCCGAGAAAATCTTGGCACAGACAGACAGACCAATGGCTAAAAATGAGTTTTTCGGTCTCAGGGGGCTGTGAAACGTATAGATCTGTCAAAACCGCATGTCGGAAATTTGACCCGATTGCAATACTTTCCTTACCTAGTATAGGCAGGAAAGTATAGGTAGCAGTTAAAGTAGTTTCTAATCATCTCTTTAATACTGTTCCAGGTAAGAAAACGGTATTCATGCCAGAAATTAAAAAAAAAATTCTGGATTAAAAATTACATTACTTTTATTTTACATTTTAGGCATCAAGGAGCAACTTTTGTTCTATGTCTGTCTGTATGCAAATAGACAAATCCATGTGACAAGCATAATTCCTATTACCTTTAATCTGATTTTGATTAAATTTTCAATTTTTTTTTTCCTACACCTGCTTGATCAGCCATGCGTAATCTTGCAGTCCAATATAATTTCGCTCTCCTACCATAAGAATTGTCCATTTCACTAAAAGCACCTCTTATGTCTTATAATGCAGGGAATGTTCTCCTGTCAATTATGACTTAGCCGGCATATAATTGAATATTAATCCAAGGAACTCCAATAATTGGATATTAATCTTTTATACCGATGCGGTGGAAGTACTTCTGCTGGAAATCATGTCCTGTAAGCATTCTAAAGCATGCCACGGATTGCTCTCTATGGAGGTCTCTTGGGATCCTACTACTTTCTTCTAGCAATTTACTCCATCGCTTTTAATTTTTTGTGCATATTTCTCCTTCAGTGAACTTTGGAGGGTCTGTTTTTTTATTTTTTTAGTTCAATCCATGCCCAGAGGAATATTTGGTTGGATCATTCCAGAACCTATTCTGAGCATTTTGTCAGCCTCATCATTTCCGTGGAGCCCGCAATGCTCGCCTCATATCTACTAGAAAACGACTTCTGTCCCATTTTCTTTTAATCATTTTCAGGAATTATATAATTTGATGGTCTCATATCAATTTTATCTACTACTTTCACACATACATTTTCCTTAACACAACTATATTTCAAAACTGGCTTGTACTGTATGACCCAAAGTTTCAAGATGTTTGTGAACTAGTGCCAAAATGGTCTACTACCAATTTTATAAAATTCAGTCTGCCACTTTTACTTACACATGCACAAATAATGTACAAATGTTCCAGTATCAAGTTTATCAAATTATATCTGTTCCTTTAGCTTAAGCATATTCATTCAGCTGCATTATGTATTTTCTATATTATAATTTTTTATGGGTGATAATGGTTTGATGGTTCAGTAGAAAAGTCGGTTAGAAACACAGCTGGGATATGCAGAACAGTTTTACAGAGGAAGCTATTACAGTTGAGTTTTTCTTCTCCACAGTCAACTTGAGCTTGTAAACTCTATTCCAATGACTGATTAGATTCAAGTCCTCTTATCATTTTTTTTTTATAGATGATAATAGGTCCGAAGGTAGGAAGGACAGTTACAAAATGTAATTTTGTTAAGCTTACTGCAAATGAAGTACCTTTTAGTTTATAGTGAGCTACTTTACCATATGGCTATAATTTATGTAGGGCTTAAATAGTAAACCTTCATATGGTCCTTTCTCAATTCTGAGTATGCCATCTCTGTTTGTCTCTTGTGGTTGGTAATTAGGAATGATTCATTATTTTAAGTGAGTGTTCACAGAAGAAAATTATTAAAATCGGTGGGACAGTTCTAATTTAGTAATAACTTCTTCCTGGATAACTGCTGGAATTAGCCAAGGACTTCTAACTAATATGCCTATCACAGCTTTGTGTACCAATTTATTGCTTAACCTATATTTTTTAACATAAGTATTGTTTGTAATATTTATTTTACATTTTTTAAATCTGTCTGGTTTTTATTATTTATTTATTTTATTTTTATAGGGTTTCACAGCTTCCCTTCTGAATCCTAATGAATGGGTTACAAAACTAAGTTTACAAATTAAACCAGTAGAGCCTGTATTAGATGCTGGTGCACAAATTCAACAAATGGTTAATGTAGAATGTGTTGAAGATTACACAGGTACTCTTTGCTTGGTATATTTTATCACATGAAAATAAATTTAATCAATATGTCTTGAAAACTTAAACTGTCTAACTTTGTTTGACTGCAAGATATGGAATCCACAAAATTCATGCAATATTTTTAATTTATTATTTATTTATTTATTTTCCACCCTCCTATGCCACCAGGGCAATGCGGGTGTATGCAGTAGTGTGATGTTAAGCATTAATGCATAACAACACACTACTGTCATTATATCAGTTTACAAAATGCAAAGCTGTGCACACTAGCTCTTCGACTTTACCTTCTACACCAAATTAGGCCTGGCTTCCAAAATCCGGAGGTCTTCCAGGGGCTGGTCCTCTTCTCCTTCCACCTAGGTTGAAGTTAGCTCGACCCACCGCCGTCTTCCAGCCATTTATGAACTCTTTGAACCGCGGGTAGTTTTATTCACTCACTAACTGAGGAAACTCCTCAGTGAGGAAGTAAATTCCCGTGGTTCTCATTAACCTGGCTCTTAACCTGTCGAAAGCAGTGCAGGCCATGACCACATGCTCAACAGTCTCCAGAACAACACCACAAGCGAGACAGTGGGGATCTATATCCTGTCCGAGGCCATGAAGTTTAGCTCTGAAACCCCCATGCCACGTGAGAAATTGCGAAACCGAATAGTCCGGGAGTATCCATTTCGCTTGTAGCCGAGATTCAACAGTGAGGAAGTATTTTCTTAAGGTACTGCCTTTCGAAGTCGTCACCTACCGTCTGCTCCAATCTTCAATTGTTTCCTCCTGGATACTCGTTTTCCATTTATTTGTTTATTTGGGTTTTCAATAATCCTCATCCGTAGGTTCTCCGATAGACCTGTTGAGCCTTCCCTCTTGTAATCGTACCTGGTCACTTCTTCTCGCAGGAGGAGGTCAAGAGGCACCACCCCCGCTAAGACCTGCACTGCTTCATGCGACGTAGACCTAAAATTCATGCAATAAAATAAAGCAATAATTTTATATCTATTAAATTATAATTTATGATAATTTAACCAAGTGTGGTTCTTAAACCGCCACTAAACTTCCCTCCTATACTATTATTAATATACCTATTATGATCTTGATGTTATGAATTCAGTAACTTAAGAATATTATTTTTATTGAAATAGGGTCCAAATAATCAAATACTTCCACTTTAGAGCTGTAATTTTTCATTCTGATACTAATATAAAATTGGATAAAAAGAGTCATTTACTTTCCGGAACAATATCTCTTCTACGCAGATCCTGTTATTCCCTTCATATTTCAATCCCATAAAAAAACACCTTATTACAAAACCTAAGAACAGAAGCCTTGGAGGAGGGAGAGTTTATGTTTGTATATATATATATATATATATATATATATATATATATATATATATATATATATATTTGTGTGTGTGTATATAAATAAACTTTATTCTGGGACTAAGTCCCCTCAAAATAACAATAATGACCAAATACATATCTGGCCAAAAACTAACTTAATAACGATTCTAACAATATATATACAGTAATTACAATTATAGTTGTAATTGAAAAAATAAAATAAATACACAGGGTATCCTGGAAGTAGAGGGAAATATTAAAAAGGTTGATAGTAGACATCAAGATCTACAAAAAGTTAATATAAACAATTGCCCAATTTCCAGCAGCAAAGTAGGAAATTTAAGATTTGTGTTTTTTTAATAAATCAATAATCAGTCGATAAAAATAAGAAAAAAATCTATTCATAATTGCACAATCTTGAAATCGGTAGGGTTTTTATAAAATTTACTCTCCCTCCCCCTCAACATTATTGAGGATCCTTAGTCACTAAAATTCAAAAAGTGACACCAACTAAATGCTCGATTACACAACTTTAAAACTGTTTTATCTTCATATAAGGTGCCCATAACAACAATATAGAGGACCCATATATCGATAAAATCTCAAGTGTAAAAATTCAAATTTACTTTAACAATGTTGTAGCTACCCACCCTGTTTTAGAAAATTACCCATCCATATTCATGAATAGTTTTGTAATATTGTGATTAATGCAAAGAAAAAAAAGGTGTTTCTTCTATTAAAATATATTTATATAATTACCTTATCCTTAATGTTAAATTGTGCTCATATATTATTTAAATACTTTATTATTTAGTTAAATAATAGAATTTGAATGAAATATTTATAAAAATTAATGTGGCTCAATTTCAACCTTCTAGATGCTCCTAGTATGAATATTTCTTTCATTTATAATAATGTTCCTCAGAAGTTGACGATTAAGCTTCCTATATTCATAAATAAATTTTTTGAACCTACTGAAATGAATGGTGAATCGTTTTTTGCGAGATGGAAAAATCTAGGAGGGTAAGATTTATGTTAAAATATTTTCTTTAAATTATGTTTTGCATTTGTGATTAAATTTTCTTATATATATAGATATATACATAATTTTTTTTTACAGCAATCCACAAAAATCACAGTTAATATTTCGTGCTACTCAAGGAATGGATTTAATGGCCACTAGAACCAAGCTTATTGGATTTGGAATGCAATTACTTGATGGCATTGACCCCAATCCTGATAACTTTGTTTGTGCTGGTATTGTTCATACCAGAACTCAGCAGATAGGATGTCTTCTACGTTTAGAGCCTAATAAGCAAGCTCAAGTAGGTATCAATGTATAAGGAAATTAATTTTGTTTTTTAAATTTTGTACTATTCTGATGAAAATCGTTTTTACTATAATATTTTTAAAAAAATATAAAAATAAAGCACCTTTTTTTTAAAATAGACAAAATAAGAATTTAATTAGTCAGCACAACGATTTGAGGAATGGGGCATGAAAATATACAAAAAAAAAAAAACACAATTTTCAGTCTCTCCCAAAATTCTCCGGGAAGTAAATCTTAAAATAGGTGAAGACGGTCTATCTGACCAAAGAAAAAAACCCAACTACCGTGGGATCAAATTAGATCCACGTCTAGCATGGAAGAAACAGATCGAAGGATGTATTGTGAGGGGTATTAGAAGGTCCTGCCTATTAAAAAATGTCACATTCTGGAAAATTCTGTGAAGCAGAGAATGATATAAATAGAAAACAAAACAAAAATAAAAACCTCACTTATTTTACAGTTAGTTTAATTTTTTCTTCCAAAGTGACTGAACTTTTTGTAAAAAAAAATTATAAATTATTTTCAGCCAAAAAAAAAAATAATTTTACTGTTTTTTTTCTTGTTGTTAAGTTTAGAAAAATAGTTTCTTACACGATTTATAAATTTTGTGTACTTAAATATTCAAAGAAAAAATTGTATAGCTTGTCACTAAGGAGTACAAAGATGTTACCATCATCATCATCTTACCCAACTACCCATCGCTGGGTCAGGGCCACCTCTAAAAGCCTCTGCCAGTTGGCATGGTCCTGGAATGCAGCTGTACAGTTCCAGATTTTTTAAAGGTTTTTTGCATCCAAAAACACTCCGTCAAGCCTACTCTTCTTGTCTTGTGGAGTTCCTCCAACTTTAGTGTTTTGGAAATCTCAAAACCATCCATTCGATCGAGAAACATAACCTTCTAATCTTAATAAACTAGACCATGTCCACCTCTATGTGGAGCTCCTGAAGTTCTCGATTTTTCCTTCTGTGCCGTACATTCCTCTCCCTAAGTTTTCCTTCATCTGCCTTTGTGGTAGCCCAAGCTTCTGAGCCATAGGACAACAATGGCTGTTTCAGTGTCTTTATTCAGGTGTATTTTGGTTTCATTGCCCAGAGACCTACTTCGTAGATGTTTCGACTAGCTGAAGAAGCATCGATTGGCGACAGTAATTTTTTTTCCGATCTCCAGGCTGAGGTCATTGCTTGAACTTATTTCTGTGCCTAGATAGGTGAACGATTCTATCTGCTGGAACTTATATGATCCTATTTCTAGGAATGCAGCTATAGTATTCTTCCAAACTATCAGCATCACAAAAGACAATAAAAATAGAGTATGTCAGTTGACTTGACCACAGAGCCACTATAGATAACATGATCTGGTGTCCTGAGGATTTGTTGTGATACACGTAATTGTCCCACTTTAGATGATACAGCGAAACCTCGATTATTTTTCTCTGATAGTCAAATTTATAAAAAAAAAAACTGCAAATTATTACAAAATGGTTTTCTATTTCATACCAGCTATGTATCTAATATATCTGATATGACCCCCTCACAACATCTCTAACTGCTTTAGATGCAAACTCCAATTGTTTGAGATATCGTTGCTTATATTGGTCTGTTGTTAAAAATTTTGACGACAATTACCTTTCATTTGATTAACTTAAAATATATATTTTTTTATTATAAATCACAAATAAGATAGCTTTTTTCTATCATCCCTAATAGACAAGGGAGTAGGTCATACTTTAGAGCATGAAATATCTGGTTACGTTAACCACAGGTAGCAACATACTACTAGTTCACTTTCTTTTACACGCCAAACTACTAGTTCACTTCGGGAAAATTGAATTGAAAGAAAGGTAAAAAATGGTTTATTGAAAGTATGCAACATCGTTTATTACACATTTTCCCATCTTTGGCAATTTATGGATACCCTCCTTGGAAAATTGTAGAACTTTTAAAGTGGTCCGATCATCAAGCAATTTTTTGAGATCTTCCTAATCATTGAAATATTTTATAAAGAGTTCTTGAGACATTAATAAAAACAAGTGATAGTCGAAAGAGGCCAATTATGCTGAAAATGGTGGGTAGGGCAAGAGTACCCTGCCAAGGGTAGACATGGTGTCTTTGAATTCTTTCATTGTGTGTAATGGGGTGTTGTGCTTCAACATTACTTTTCCTTGTCTTATAGCCCATTCTGGTCGCTTTTCGATTAATGCTTAATGGTTCTTATTGATCATTTGTTGATGGTGGCAAACTGTATCATCTGATTTCAGAAACTCATGGTACACAACACCCTTCTGATCCCACCAAACGCACAGCATTGTCTTCTTTACAAGCGATTTGATTTTGCTTGCAGGCGATGTTGATGATTGTCGTGGATCAACCCATGATTTTCTGAGTTTTTGGTTCTCGAAATATGCCCATTTTTCATCTCCAGTCACTATCCTATGCATTAAAGTTTTTCCTACTGGAAAAGCAAAACTTTGCTCACCGTTTTTTGCGTTTCCTTCTGTCATCATTCAACTGTTGTTGTACTCATTTTCCTGCTTTCTGGATCTTCTCATGACAAACAGTTGACCCCAAATGGTTCAGCAACTAACTTTTAACCTCTCAGCCAATTGTTGTTGAGTTGACATATTGTCTTCATCCAACAATGCTTGTTATTCAGCATCTTGAATTTTTTTCGGTTGACATAGCATTCTTTGTGTTTCAAGTCAAAATCATTACTTTTGAATCATCTAAACCAATGCATACAAGCCTCTTGCGTTAGAACATTGTGACCTAAGTTTATACTATTATACATCAACTTTCATTTGCATTTTTCTTTTGATTGAACAAGAAATGCTCTTTATAACCCAAAATCATTTAACAGTATTTTTAAAGGTACTGTTGTAGTAACAAAACAACCCAAGACTTTTGGCTGTGAACCAATCTTGATTTCCAGTGCCATTATTCACTTATAACAATTGAGAATTATTAACCACACTCACTTCTCCTAATACAAGAAGTACCTGAAGTCTTCAAAGTTCGAACGGGCTTCCGGCAGGGAGATGGATTATCACCGGTATTGTTTAACTTAGCCCTGGAGAAGGTAATAAGAACAACATTACAGGAAAATGGAGGTTGATTAAGTCATAAAATCCTTGGATACACAGATGATATAACTGACCTTCAAAGTAATCAAAAAGACATTGAGAAACTCGCTAAGACTGATCAATGAGGCAGAGCAGATCAGCCTACAAATAAATGTAGACAAAACAAAACATATGATAATAAGCCAAAATTCCACCCCAATAACAGGATCTTCGTTGAAAGAAAACCATTCCCAAAAGTAGCAAAATTCAAATACCTCGGCTCCACAATAACCTCAATAAATGACCACCGGGCAGAAATTGACAAAAGTATAACTAGCACAAACAGAGCTTTCTTCTCCCTTTCATAGGTATTAAAATCTCAAATTAAGGGTGTATAATGCAATGATAAAGCCAGTTCTAATATATAGCTGTGATACCTGGACACTAAAAAAAAGTGTTGAAAGATTTGAGAGAAAAATCCTCCGCACAAGAACCGGAGCAATGTGGAATCAGAGTACTAACACATGGAGAAGAAAGACCAATAAAGAACAGCTTACAGAATCTGTTCAATCGATATCCCATGATATGAAGGCATGGAGGTTAAGATGGGCGGTGCATGTAGCTCGTAACAATCTGTCTGGAAGCCTCTGCGTAACAATGAATGCCTCAACAGAAGGCTAAAGACCACGTGGAAAGCCAAAAATTAGATGGATAGATAGAATCAACAAAGCTGCAATAGAAGAGCTGCTTGCAGATAAATGAAAAGAAATAGCCCAAGACAGGCAGAGATGGAGCAGGCTTGTTAAGGTGGCAAAAGTTCTACATGGTCTGTAATGTCAACAGAAAAAGAAAAAAAAACACCACACCTGACATAGAATAATTATTTCATTGGAAATATGAAATATTATTTTAGGAATAACCATTAATAATAATATTCAGCACTACTGCTCCCTCCATGGAAAAATTAAAGAGAGTTGCTGACAGAGGATATCCTTGTCTAAGATCATTATTGGCTTAAAACTCTTGTTCCAGTGAGCCCTGTGATTTGATTCGACATTTAGAAGCAGTCATCGTCATTCGAACCAGACACACTAACTTCTTGGGAACTACAAAACTTCATAAATCGTACAGAATTGAATTGAATTGTTTGACTGGTTCAATTGAAATATTAAATAACCATATAAACTAAGCATCAACGCGGTCATAGGCTTGCTGCACATCTATGAAAAGATGATGGAGAGCAACATAAGGCTCATGTCACGTTTTTTTGACAGATATAAAAAATTGACGTTGCTAGGCAATGATGTTAATATTTGAACCATACATGGTTCAAATAAAAATTATTCAGTTTTTAATATTGTGACATAATAATTTATATTTTAATTGAATATTTAATAGTTGACCGTTGCATTATAAAGGAAATAAAATAGTTTTACCACTATTTAGCCTTTTTATGACCGCAACCCCGGACCATCTCCTTCCTTTATTTATATTTTATATTAACTTTTTGCCCACTTCATTATTTTGAGCAGGGGATATAGAATTTTAATGGTTTTTGAAACACTAAGGTAAACTTACAAGTCTGTCAATGTTGAAAAATTGGATTTTTTATTTTCACTCTACCTATACTTAAAAAAAATTGAATTTTACCACCTTTTGCTAAGTAACAGGAAGTGGGGTAGCTCAGTGGTAGGGCACTGATTTCCAAAACTCAAGGTCCCAGATTCAAATCAGACTGATGGTAGAAAAATTATTTATTCTGTTTCTGTAGTTTTAATTATAAAGTGGGTAATTAATTAAATAATTGATGAAGGGCCATAAAGCCTTTTTATGACCGCAACCCCGGACCATCTCCTTCCTTTATTTATATTTTATATTAACTTTTTGCCCACTTCATTATTTTGAGCAGGGGATATAGAATTTTAATGGTTTTTGAAGCACTAAGGTAAACTTACAAGTCTGTCAATGTTGAAAAATTGGATTTTTTATTTTCACTCTACCTATACTTAAAAAAAATTGAATTTTACCACCTTTTGCTAAGGAACAGGGAGTGGGGTAGCTCAGTGGTAGGGCACTGACTTCCAAAACTCAAGGTCCCAGATTCAAATCAGACTGATGGTAGAAAAATTATTTATTCTGTTTCTGTAGTTTTAATTATAAAGTGGGTAATTAATTAAATAATTGATGAAGGGGGAAAATCTGATGGTTGAGCGTGATCTTAGTGAAATCATCTCCTTTCACAACCATTGACCAAGAAACAGTATTTCCTTACCAAGTAGTGAACCCAAGAACATCCATGGGTTGTAGTGGTGCGGTTTTTTTTTTCTTCTAAGTATTATGCCTGATTTGATAGGGGTACTTTTGAAATGGACTAATACAGTTTTTTAGTCTCAAAAATGGATACATACATTTTGTTATAAACTATAAGTAATGAAATCTCAACTTTAGAGCTCAAAAGCTAAAAATATAAAGAGTATTTATAATTATTTCTTTACAATATTAATTGCAATATTTTATCATTTTATTAACGTCTTTACAGATGTATCGCCTCACTGTAAGATCAAGTAAAGAGTCAGTATCTCAAGAAATATGCGAACTGCTCTCCGATCAGTTCTAAAATGAGAAAATAACATACACTGTGTAAGATAATCTCAGATCTGTATTTAAATAAATGTTTGTAATGCTTAATATAGTTACCTTATAATCTTATATTTTTTAAATGTTATATTTTTGTTTGGAATATTCATGAAATTTTTATGGTTTGAAAAACAATATTAAAATTTATTGAAAATCGTTTAATTTTTATTTTTGATTTATTTAAAACATTAGTATATAAAATTAAAATAGTAAAAGCTTTATTATCTGCTTTATTATCTTTATAAATTTGAAATGTGATGTTTTCCTGTAATTTAAATTGAATTTAGGTAATATATGAAATAAATTAGGTAAATACATATTTATAAACTAATTATTGAGAAAATATGAAAATAGAAGGAGGAAAAATTAAAAATTAAATACATGATCAATTTTATTTATATTGTAAAAATATTTTGTTTTACGTCACTATAACACTAGATAACAAAGCTTTTACTGCTAATTATTAATTTGACTTACTTAATTTTTCTCAATTTACATTATATAATTAAAAGACTTTTATTGCAGCCATTTTAATCATAAAATGTTTTTGATAAGGTTCTAGTTTCAGTTTGTTTATTTAGTCACTAACTGTTGTACAAACTTAATATTTAATTTTCAGTTAAATTGTTTATTATGTTATTATAGAAAAATGTGATTAACAATTATAACTGTATAACATGTATGTTGTATGTTATTTTTTATTGATAGTTTTGTGTCAAAAGTTTATGTCCTTTTGAAAACAATAAGGAATTATTGGATATGAACTGGATCATTTTTTTAGTTATGAAATATAGTTCCATTATTTATATAAGATAAAATATTTTTGTGAGAAGTTAAATTATTTGCATTTATTTATTATGACATTTAAAATCTTTTGTGGAAATATCAATAGTAGATGTTATCTTCATTTATCTTCTGTAAAGAATTTTTATTTCTAATTATTTCTCTGCGTGATGTATATTTTTCTACTCACTGATATGATTATTGTTTTGGTTTGTGTATTTGTTGTATGCTTGGTTATGAAATCTAAACCATTAGTGTGTATGTTTAACTCAAACATATAGTTCTTGCTTACTTGCTATTGTACAGAATTCGACTTTAGCTTGTAAATTATAGATTATTAGAAGTATTTCCTGGAATTATATATTTTATGCTTAATCGATTTTGAGCATAATGTAAATTTGTTATTATGAAAATAAGTTTTCAATTATAGACAATACTGTTATATTATAGCATCCATATATTGTGCCATGATAGTAAAAGGCATGATATGGTGTTTTGTGAAGCAAATAATAAATTTGTATTTTTATGTAATGCTATATGTATTATTCCTATTCATCATATAAACAGCTCTTTGTAAATCTTAAAAAAGTGTGGGCATATGAGAAAACGCCTGTTTTTGCCATTATAGTCATGTAATGTATAAGTGGTTTATTATATTAGATATTTACACCAAAGTATTCCAGTAATATTTAGGAGAATAGAAAATATGTTAGTTATTTATTTGGAAAAATTAATGTTTTATCATCATTTATTTAATTTTTTTAAAAATATTATGAAGCTGATGCTTATGTTCCTTATTACAATGATGTAGTGTTTTATTTTATAATTTGTATTATATGCTTTGATACATTTATATTTGATTACTCAGTAATTTATGATGGCAATTAATTTAAAAATAGAAATATTCATATGATAAGTGGGCTTTTTTTTTTTGTGGTGATATTAATATTCCTTTGGATTAAATTTATTATCAGTGTAACTCTGGATAAACATAACCAATTTAGAATAAATGTTATTTAAAACTTGTCTATGTTTATTATATGCGTAAAGTTTTTTTTTCTGGTATGACATCTTGTTGTTTTTAGTGTTTATTATTGAATAATCTATATTATATCATTATCTATGATAAAATGTATGTCTATATGAAATCAATTATTTTATTGAGTGACAATCTTCTCTTTAATTTAATATACCGTATGATTTTGTATTGATTTTTGTGTCTGCAATAAAAATTATTTGTAGATTTAATAGTTTACATGCATATATATATATATATATATATATATATATATATATATATATATATATATATATATATATATATATATATATATATATATATATATGTATATGTATATATGTATATGTATATATACACACACACAGACAAATTCAACAATTTAACCGAGTCATTTAAATTTGTGTAATTTATTTTATCAGTTTTAAATGATGTAAAATTTCTATTTTTTCGTATCAAAATTTAATTAATTTGAAATTATATTTAATTAATTTTTAGTAAATAAACCTTTGTACCTGTAAATGAATTCCAATACTCTTAATTCCTTAAAGTCGAATAGATATTGTTTGTTGTAAATAAATATTAATATTTCTGTGACATTAACTTGTAATAAATATTTTATTTCTTATGTTTAGTTTTCAATTTATCAAAATTTTAATTAAAATAATTATTTTAATTATTCATTCATTTTTGTGATAAATGTACCATTAATAGTTAATAACTTCTGTTTTTCATACATTAGTGTAAATATGCATACCCATATTTAGATACAGGTGCATTATGTATCTTATAAATTATTTTATTATTTATATATTAATTTATTGAGGTTAGAATGGTGTTATTCTGTTAATATTGCAAGGCTTTGTGTTATATTTCTATAACATTATAACAGATGAATGACTTTTTATTCTCATTCATGATTTATCAATAGTTTCGAACAATATGGGACCATATTCTAATTGTCTGCATTTCTTTTAAAGATATCTTACTGATGAATTGGTTCCACAAATATTTTTACACATTGGAGTTAATTTATATTATATAATGGGTTTTGATATTTTATGTTACATTAATATTTCATTACTATCATTATTATAATATTATTTATAATTATATTCAGTTTATAAAAATATAATATCTATTACAATTTTTTTCTATTTATTATAGATTTCCTTTAAAATCAACTATTCTTTATTTCACTGATTCAGATAATTATGATTAAGCCATGCTTATTTTACACCCTTCACACCATAGGGATTGCATTATTTGGTATGGTTTACAATTTTGAAAAGTCCCTGATCCTGAGTAAAGCTGACTTTAAACTGGAATAAGGAACTTGACAATATTTCTTTTGTATTAGTTTATGTCTAATGTATACAGTTTTGGAAATACCAGGAAAAAGTAAGAAGTGTTTTTTTTTTATATCTAATTTTTTTTATTTTAAAAGTACAATCTGCCACATTGAAGGGCAATAAGTAACAGGGCTAAATGTTTTCCTTCATATCATATATACATATAATAGGGAAATAAAAAATAAATGAGTAAACTAAGACAAAGTAAATTTAAAAATAGAATAACAAACATAAATGAAACATAAAATAAATCAATAAGTAAATATAAAAAATAAATCATCTTAACACATTCATTCCTATGTACAATATTTACATTCGCCCAGGGAACTCTGACTCCAGAAGCAAACTTGCAAGAGATCTCTGGGCCACTGCCATTTTAACCTTTGAAGAGGATTGTAGCGATGAAGGGAGCTGGATATGGATTGAGCTAGAGGATTTGGATGATGGATAAGGTTCTGGTGAAAGTTTGATAATCTGGATGAGATGAGGTCATGGTGTAAGGTCTTATTTGTGACAATATGGGGCATTGACTATTGTTCTAAGTACTTTGGTTGGAAGGATTGGATGCGTTTGATATTCGAATGTTTATCAGTTCCCCACAGTTCAAATCTGTAGGTCCAGATAGGTTTCAGTATGGTCTTGTAGATTAAAAGTTTATTTTCAATCAAAATATGACATGTCCTGCTTAGTAATCTATATAGCTGGCCATATCGTTGGTTAAGTTTTTGTCTTTTAAGTCTGATATGTGGGTTCCAAGTTAGTCTTTTGTCTAGAAGGAAGCCAAGGTTATGGACTGTATCTGATTAGAGAAGTGGTATTGAATTAAAAAGAATTGGCGGACAGGATCTGCGTCGCAGGGTGAAAGTGATATGTTTGCATTTTGATTCATTGATTTTGATGCACCAGTTGTTGCACCACTGCTCAATCAAGGAGAAGTGAGATTGTAGGTTTAGAGATGCTCTTTGAGGATCTGAGTGGGACGCCAGCATTTTGATTCATTGATTTTGATGCACCAGTTGTTGCACCACTGCTCAATCAAGGAGAAGTGAGATTGTAGGTTTAGAGATGCTCTTTGAGGATCTGAGTGGGACGCTAGGATGGCAGTATCATCAGCAAATGTAGCTAGGAATGTATCGGGATTTGAAGGGATATCTGCAGTGAAGAGGATGTAGAGAACTGGGCCCAAGACACTGCCTTGTGGAACACCAGCCTCAACTGGATAGTAAGTGGAGAATTCGGTGCCACAACGGACTTGAAAGGAACGATTTGAGAGGTAGGATTTGAGGACTAGGTATAAGGATTGGGGTAAATGGGTTTTGAGCTTGAAAAGCAAGCCATCGTGCCACACCCAATTGAAAGCTTGCGCTACGTCCAGAAAGGCACCACTGCAATATTGCTTGTTTTTAAGTGCAGAGGATATATGGTCCACATCACGAAGGCCTTGAACAGTGGAATGTCTTGACCGGAATCCAAACTGATGAGAAGGGATGTTGTGGAATTCGAGTATGGGTAGGATGCGTTTGAGAAGGATTTTCTCTAAGATTTTTGGGAGGATCGGGAGTAAGATTATCGGTCTATAGGATGATGTGTTATTAACAGGTTTACCTGGTTTTGGGAAGAGGATGATTATGGAGTGTTTCCACACCATGAAGGATGCAATTGTATCGATAGGTAAGGAATATAATTGCTTTTTTGGGAAGTTGTCTGAGGGTTTGTGAAGTGAGGAGATCATATCCAGGGGATTTTCAGGGTTTTAATTTGTTTATAAGGAATTTGACCTTAGAGGGGTTAACAGGTTTTGGAGGTAGAGAGAAAGGAATTGGTGAAGAGAGGAATTCTTTAACTTCAGCAGTGTGGGTGGGATGAAGTTCGGGACGAGGAGTGAATATGTAGCTTAGATGTTTAGCAAACTCTTAAGCTCTATTCGCATTTGATGAAGCCCAGGAACCATCATCACGGCGAAGTGGGTGGGAAATGGACTGGAATTTAAAGATTTTTTTTAGTTACATTCCAGAGGGAGTTATCACTAGCGGATAATGAGGAGAG